TTTATTAATAATTACATTATTATTTTAAAATTATAAAAATATTACAAATTATATAAAAAGAAAATATATATAAATATATATATTTATAGTATATAAATATATATTTATAATTTATATAATTATAATATTAATTTTTATATACATTAAATTTTATAAATTAATAATTTTTGCTATTTTAATAAAAAAAATAAAATTAAATATACTCATAAATATTTCTATTTTTCAATAAAAAAACCTAATAAATGTCATAAGAAGGTTTTTTCATTCTATTTTTAAAATATAGAATGACTAAAATAATATTAAAATAAAAATAGAAAACAATATTTTATAAATATGTACAGAAAACTAATAAGAAGCAATTCTTTATAATTAAGCAAAATATTAATTTATAAGAAAAAACTATTAGTAAGCTGTAAAAAAAAAAAATAGAAAAAATGACATAATTTAATAATAAATATTTATCTATATATACTTTTTAAAAATTTTTATATAGATTTAATTTCTTGAATAACTTCTTTAATTAAATAATAAAAAAATAGACGCAAAGAATATACTTTTGTAAATACAAAAAGAGGATTATATTATCAAAAATCATCAATATGACTAAAATTTTATAAAAAATTATTAACAAAGATTATTTGAAATACAAAAAGTAGAATAAAAGAAAAAATCTATATATAATATATATATAATGTATTTTTTTAATATATATAAACCGAAAAATAGTTAGATCCTTAAAACTATATAACTTTATTTAATTTGGCATAATTTTATTATGAAATAAAAGATTTTAAAACATCATTGGAATATTATAAAATATTAAATTAGATTTAAAAAAATGATATTAAAATTTAATTCAATATCGCAATAATTTACTCATATAATAATCGATTTGAAAAATCTATAGAATATTATGAAAAAGTAAAAAAAAAAAAAAAAATTATAAATTTTTCTCTCTCTTTTTTCCCACCCCCCTAAAATAAATAAAATAAAATAAGGTTTTATTAATAAATCCTTATTATTCACCAGCAATTATAAACTATAGCAATTTGCTAATAAAGAATAAAAAATACGCATAAGCTAAAAATTTACTTTAAGATTATTTAAAAAAAGCTCCTTTTGATGAAGAAGCAATGAATAATTTAAATATAATTTTATCAGAAAGGAATGAATAATTAAAGGCTTAAGAAAATTTTAAAAAAATATTAAGGAAATCAAATCCAAATATAAATAGTTTATATAATTATGCTGTTTTTTTATATAAAAATGAGGAAAAAATAAACAGTTTAAAACTTTTGGAAAAAATAATAAATTACTTTGGGAATAAAAAAGAAGTAAAAATTCAAAAAATAATAATTTTTTCCTATATTAATATGGCTTTTATTTTAGAAAATTTAAAATAATTTTCTTTTGCTCTATAAATATATAATCTAGTATATTTTTTTGTTTCATTTTTTAAATATATATATATATTTTATTTAAAAACCAAGATTTTAACTAGATTTAGAAATTTTTTAAAAAATGAAAATGAGATTTTGTAAAAAATAAAAAATATACAAGAAATTATTTATTTGTAAAAAAAACTTGAAAATATTTAAGAAAAAAAAACTGAAAATTTTTAAGAAAATAAAGTCGAAAATAGTTTTTTTAATGAAAATAATAGCTTTTTAAATGAAAAAAATCAAAATTTTATAAAAGAAAAATATTCTTTTATGAAAAATAGTTAATCGCAACATTAAAAAACATAAAGAAATTCAAAGTCTTAATCTTCTTAAAGAAATAAAAAAAGTCTTACTTTAGAACTTTAAAATTAATAAGAAAATATATAAACTAAACCTTATTTACTTGTTTAATAAAATAATTAAGCTTTGTAAAATTACAAATAAAATTTTCTAAATTAAAAAATTTTTTTCAAAAATTCATTTCTAGTATAATAATAAAAACCTATATTTTCAGTATAAAAACCTAATTTTATATAAAAGAATCTCTTTAGATATCCTAATTAAGAGAGTTTAAATCCTAAGTTTTTTAATTAAGAAGTAGATAAATAAAATTCAGTTTTGAAAGAAAAAAAAGAATCTTTTTCAGTAGAAAAAAAAAGCTTTTAGAAAGAAAATTAAACTTAATTTTAAAGAAATAAATATTATTAAAAAAAAGAAGATATAAATAATAACATATTTTAGTAAAAAAATCCATAATTATTTTTCTAAATGAATTAAAGTTTATAAAAAATAAATGAAAATTCTTTAAAAAAAATATAAAGAAGTTAAATTTCTTTAAAAATTAATGAAAAATCTATAAAAAAACCATAAATCTATTTTAAAAAAACTAAAATAAATGAAAATGATACAAAAAAACCTAAATTTTATTTAAAAATTAACAAAAAAAATGATATTCAAAAAAACAATTAATAATATTTTATATAAAACGAAAAAGATAAATTCATTTTATTTTAAAATTATTAAAAATAGATTTTTTAATAAAAAGATAGTATAAATAATAAATATTATGGCTATAATAATAGTTTAACTATTTAATAAAATAGTATATATAATAATCAAAATGATTAAATGCATTAAAGCTTTAATTAAATAAATAATTTTTAATAAAATATAGAAAAATAAGAAAATTATAAAAATTAATTTTAATTATTAAAAAAAAACAATAGTTGTGAGAAAAATTGTGATATTAAGATTTATAAAAAAAAAGGTAATATGTAAAAATAAAAAGTGGTTTAAAATTTTAATTAAAATAAATTTAATTAATAATAATAATCATAAAATATAATATAAAGTTAAAGTTAAATATAAACTTAATAAATTAATAAATAAAATTAATAAAAAACTTAAGAATAAAATCGAAATTCTATATAGAATATAAATACTATCTAAAACTAAAATTCTATATAAAACTAAAATTCGATTTAAAATCAAAATTGTATTTAAAATTCTCTCTAAAATTAAAACTAAGATTCAATCTAAAATTCTATTTAAAATTAAAATACTATTATCTAAAATGAAAATCCTATCTTAAATTAAAATATTACCTAATAATAAAATTCTATATAAAATAACCAAAATACCGTTTAATAAAAAATTAATGAAAATGAACATAATTCTATCAAAAATACACAAAATTCGATATAGACTGAGAATATCTCATTGAAAAATAATTAAAACACAATATAAAATTAATAAAAACAAACTTTTTAAAAACCTTATTTAGATATAAAAAACATTAAAAATTCAAATTTTAATTAATAATAAGATTTTTCAATAGATAATGAATAAGAATAATCGATTTTAATATAAAATTCTATTTAAAAAAATATATAAAAAGATTAAAATAATTAATAAGTTTTAAATGAAAGTTAACATATTATAAATAATAACGAAAAATAACTTGAAAAATATATTGAAAATTTAATCGAAAAACCAATTGAAAATTCAAAATAAAATTCAATTTAAAATTTAAATGAAAGATTCGAATTTTCAATAAAAAACGAACAAAATTTATAAACTCAAAAATAAAACTCTAATATACTAAACGAAGAAAGCTTTGAAAAAATATAAGAAAATAATAGAAAAGAAACAGATTAATTATAAATAAGTTTCTAATAAATACTAGATTCTAATAAAAAAGACAAGAAAAATAAAGAATATAAAGAAATTCGATCAAACATATAATGTTCTACTTTTTAAATTGATAAAGTGGAAAAAAATGAATAATTTTATATGGAAATGTTATAATAAAATCCTAAAAATGAAGAAGCTTTATATAATTTGGCTTTTTTTGAATTAAAAAAAAATTAAATTGAAAAAGCAAAAATTTATCTTTAGAAAATTCTAGAAATAAACTAAAAATATTAATATGAAAATGTAAAAAAAAAACAAAAAAAACAAAAAAAAAAGATATTTTTTTTTTAAAATAAATAAGATAAATTTTACACTAGGAGAAATATTTTATACTTAAAAAAATTATGAAAAAGCTTTATTTTATTTAAAATAAGCCTTTAAAATTTCAGACTAAAAATAATAAATACTCTTAAAAATAGCCTCATGTTTTTAAAAACAAAATAATATTTAAGATTCTATAAAAACATATGAATAAGCTATTTAAATAAATACCAAAAATCACATTCCTTATTTAAAATTAGGATGGTTATTGGTAAAAAATAATTCAATATATTTAGGAATAGATAATTTATTAAAAGCTTAATGTTTATAACCTAATAATTTTAAAATAACATAAAAATTAGGAGAGGTAACAAAAAAATTAAAATATAATATATATTTATATATATATAGGCATATCTATTATTAGAAAGTAATGAAGAAACTGAAAATGCCATTTTTCATTTAATGAAAGCATTAGAAATAGATGAAAATAATTATAATTGTTTGATTGGATTAGGTAAAGCTTATGAAATTAAAGGAGATTATGATAAGGCTATATAATTTACCAAATTAGCAATATAATATTCTGAAAAAGAAAAATTTAATTTAAATTCTATATTTTTTTTAGGATTATTATTTTAGAAAAAAAAAGACTATTTAAATGCTTAAAAATAGTATTAGAAAATTTTAAGTATTAAATTATATTTAATTAATATAAATAATATATATATATATATTTGATTATATTTTTTTTTATAAAATTTATAGTTAATAATTCTAAACATATTGGAGCTTTAATAGAAAATGCAACTATTTTTAATTATTTAGAAAACATTTAATAATCTATTATTTATTTTAAATAAGCTTTATAATTAGAACCTAATAATAAAATAGCAAATATGCGTTTAGGAAAAATATATCAATTTAAATCTTTCGAATATTAAAAAGTAAAAAAATAAAATTTTATATTTAATTTATATATAGGCTATAAAACATTATGAAAAAATAATAAAATTCGATATTAATTATGCAAAAGCTTATTATCTTCTAGCCCATTGTTATTTGTTAATAAATTAATTAAAAAAGGCTTCTTAACTATTTAAATAACTTTTAGTTATAAATCCACGATTCAGTGGTTCTTTTCGTTATTTAGGTAAAATATATTTTGAAAGTAATAACTTATAAACGGCTTGTAAGTATTTCTAAAGAGCTTTAGAGTGCAATTATAATGATTTGGAGTCTAAAATAGGCTTAGGTAATTCATATTTTAAATGGAAAATTATGATTCGGCTATTAAATGTTTCTAAGAAATATCCGATATAGAATAAAACGAAGAAATCGAACATAATCTTGGAATGTGCTTTTATTTAAAAGGTGATATTGATTAATCTATAGACCATTTATAAAACGCTTTGAAAATAAACCCAAAAAAAGAAAATGCTTTGTATAATTTAGGAAATGCTTTATGTATAAAATAATAATTTCAATAAGCTTTAAACTGCTTTAAATTATGCAAAAAAATTGATAAATAAAATCCTTCGTATATATATAATTTAGCAAATACATATTTTATTTTAGGAAATAAAAAAAAATGCCATAAATATTTCTAAAAAGCTATATTATTTTAACCAGAAAATATTGAATGGCTTAGCTATGTAGCAGAAGTCTTTTTTATAAATGAAGAATACGATAATGCAAAAAAATTATTCGAAAAAATTCTAGAATTAGATAATATGAATATAGATGCTAATTTAAAAATGGCTTAATTAGAATATGCTTAAAAAAATACTTAAAATGCAATTTTACATATGAATGTATATATAATATATATATAAAGATATATATAAATATATATAAATATATAATATATATATATATATATATATTATTTTTTTTATTTATATAATAATTTTTTATATATTTTTTTTTTTTTTTTATATTTATTTTCATTATATAAATATAGAAAGTATTATATTAATAATCTGATAATGTAGAAGCTTAAAAGCTCAAAAAAATTATATTAGGTTAATGAATAAAAATAAAATACAAATATAAATATAATTATTATTTTTATATATTCAATATTAAATTTGGTTTTATATTATATTTTCTATTTTTTGTATTAGAAAATAATTTTCAGTATTTTCTTATAATTATTCTAATAATATAAGAAATCCTTTATGTACAAGTAAATTTTAAAAAGGATTTATTATTAAACCTTTTTCTATTTTTATTATTTCTCCTTATTAGCATATATTTTATATAGATTCTAGTAAACAAAATATTTAGTTTTCATTTAAATTAATATTTTAGCATAAAAATAAAAATATTTCTAAAAAATTTTTTTATATTAATTGAGTACATTATTATCTTATTTAAAATTATAAAAATATTTATATATTTATATTTATATATATATTATATTATATATATATATATTATATATATTTAAATTTAATTTAATATATCTTTTTTTTATATATTTATATTACATATTACAAGAATAATAAAAATTCACTAAGAACTAATACCCTTCCATTTTTACCTTTTTTTTTTTTAAATTTTTTTTTTTTTTTTTTTTTACATTTTCATCAATATTATATTTAAAAATATCTTAAATCCTATTTATAAAACTTTAATTTTATAAAATCAGATTTCTTTAATTATCTCCACATAAAACCACATTCGATAATGCAAAAAGACACCAACCCAATATACATTATATTTCACTTTTCAAAAAAACTTCTAAAATATAAAATATATATCCACTTTTTTCCAAAAATGAATCTAAGATACAACTTTCTCCATCAAAAGAGCAAATATTGGCAATAAGGCTCAAAGATATATAAGATTTAACTTAGCAATTATAAAAAGGGTGTTACTTTTGAATAAAAAGAGTTAAAAAATCACCAAATAAAGTAAGAAAATTGGCTATATTAGTATCTGTATTACCCTCTACATAATCCATTATTAACTAAATTATTTCGTCTTCCATATATATTTAACTTTTTATCAAAAAATCTAATAGTATTTGCATTTTTTAATTCATTTTGAGATGAAAAGGTCCTTAAAAAATTAATTTTAATAAATAAAAGCATAATTTTTGAAATTTTTTTTTTTCTAAAAATCCTATATAAAAGCACTATTTTTTATCTCAAATTGAATAAATTATAAATAATCAAAATTTGATAAAATTTCTTCTTTTTTTTCTTATTTTTTTTAAAGCAAAACCAAAAGGAAAAAAACTAAAGATTTTCTAATTGAAAATTGCTTATTTTCTTCCTTATATAATTAAAAAATTGCCAAAAAAAAGTCCTTTTAAATTATTTCGTTTAGTATTTTAGGATTATCAGCCATTTTTATATATAGAAGTATTTTTTTTATTCTTTTTAATTACTTTAAGGTTTTTAAAGTAATATATTTTATAAAAAAAGCTTTATTTTAGGCATATTATTATCTAAATATAAATGTAAATTTTCAATAATATTATTTTAAGTGTTTATTTTTTAAAGCAAAATATTAATAAGATTAAAATTAGGATTTATTAAAAGTTCTTATATAGTATTTTCTATTGAAATATTTTATAAGATTGTAGTATTTTATTAATTTTCGGTAAAAGAAAAAAAAAGGAATATTTTAAACGATTTTTTTCTTATGTTTTTGCCTTTTTTTATTATCGAATTTCTTATTAAAATATGCTCTTTTTTATATTTATATTCATTTATTTTATTATATTAAATATTTTATTTTTTTAATTAATAATTAAATTAATAATATATATATATATATATATATATAAATATATAAATAGGATAATTATTATATTTATTTTCATTTATATTATTAATAATTGCCGCTATTTTAAGTTTTAATAAGAAAAAAAGCTAAAAATAAGATGTTCTTCCTTAGAAATCTAATATATTTACATCTTCTTGATTTTCTAATGAAAAAATTTCCGAATCTTCTCTATTTTTTATAGGACAATTATAAAATGTTATTTAAAATGTTTTTATGTAATATTATTAATATTAATTATTTATTTTTATAAAGTTTTATTATATATTTATAAAAAATATTTTCATTTTTATTTATAATTTTTAAAAAACTCTTTTTTTTTTTATTATATATAATAAAAATTTTATTAAACTTTCATATTTTATTTTTTAAATAAAACTTTATATTTTTTTAAAAAAACTTAAAATTTATTTATAATATTTTATTTTTTAATATTCACAATTAAATATTATTCAAAACAAATATTATGCATATCATATTAATACTTGTAAATTTATTTTATTTATTTCAAATTATTTCTTAAATTTTAAAATATTTATTTCGAAAATCATTATTAATTTTAATAAATAAAGATATATTAATATATATATTTACATATGTAAGTATGAATTAAGTTAATTAAAAAAAATTAATAAATAGTATTTATTCATTATGTGATTTTATAAAATCATTTTTTTAATTATGTTGAAAAAAAGTATTAATATGATAAAAATTAATAAATATTAGTGTTAAAAAAATATGTTTATTTTTCTTATTAATAAAAAACAGATATATGTTTATAAATAAATATTAGATAATTAAAAATAATATATATATATATTTAAATATTTATATATTTATATATATATATTTATATATTTATATATTTATTTATTTATATATTTATAATTTTAAATTTTATTTTTTAATAATTGTTTTTATTTATTTATATATTTATTATTTAATTTAATTTTATCTATTTTAATTTTTTAATTAATAATTTAAATTTATAATATTTATTTATATATATTTTTTTTTCATTATATATATATATTTAATTGCTTATATTTTAATTAAAAAATATCTTTAAATTCTTATATACTTAATAATTATATTTATTCTTATTAAAATAAAGCAATATAACTGTTTATTTATATTTATTTTACGTATATATTTTTTTTTATTTTATTATATTTTATTTAATTTATTTTTTTAATTTATAAACTGTTAGAATATTTTATTGACTATATTATAGATTTTTTTATTTTTTATTTAATTTAAATATTATTTTAACATGAATATCATATGACAATTATTTAACCTTATCATATTTAATCTTCTATTACCCTTATTATTAATTTAGTTTACATAATAACTATATAGATTATATTTATTATATAAAGAATTCGAGTCATTACTTTTGATACTGTTTTGGCCTGATTTTTACTCTTTTTAATTATTTAAAGCAAAATTTTTTTAGATTTTTATAATTAAATTAATCATATCTTTAAAAAAATTATTATAATTAAAATTAAAAAAAAAGAAAATTAATTAAAATATAAAAATGAAAAAAAATATTAAATTATTATAATATATTAACCAAAATAAAAATATAATAATAATTATTAATAATAATGTATGTATTATTAATGATTATTTTATTATATAACTTATAATACAAAATTAAACTATGTAAAATAAAATTATATAAACCTTTTCAATAAAATAACATTTAAAAACTATTTTTACATTTATTTATATATTAAATTTTATTTAATTCTATATTAATAAACATAAAAAGGTTTAAAATCTTTTATTTTATGTATATATAACTTTTTAAATGATTTATTTATTTTAATCATTTTTTTATATAATAAATAAAGTAAACAATACTTTATAAATTATTTATATCATTTAATATTTTCTATAAATTTATTCTTTTTATAATATTTATATAGAAATTCATATACATTTATAATAAATATATTTAATATATTTTATCTTTTATATGTTTTTATATATAGCAAAATAAAATTATTTTACATAATAATAATATATCAACCATATTTTTATTTAATAAATAAGTATAACCTATTTATTTTAATAAAAAAATAGATAAGATAATATATATAAAAATAATATATATATATGTAAAAAAATAAAAAATTATTTATAAATAATATTTTAATCTACAAAACATAATTCATATAAAATTATCTTATTAAAATTTTTATTAAAATCGTTTAAATGAAAATACATATTTTACATTATACTAAAAAAAAACAAATTATTTAAATAATTTTTATTAAGAAAAGTTAAAATATATATTAGGTTAATTTTTTTTTTTAATAGACTCTTAATTTTTATATTTATTAATTAATTAAATTTTATAGTTTTTTGTTATTTATTATATAAATTATTTATCTTAATTTTATATTTATAAAATATAATAATTTTATTTATTCGTATATAAAATATAATTATTTATATTAACAATTATAATAAAAGATAAATAAATATAAAACCTATTATGATAATATAATTAATTATAAAAATATCATCTAAAATTTTGTTTATGATATAATTATTATTCTCTTTATTTTTTTTAATTTTCAACTTCTTATATTTTTCCATTTATTGCTTATTTTTCTTACTTATTATTTAAATAAATAAGTAAATGATTTATGTTTTTTTTTTTTTTATCCATACGTTTAACTTTTTTAATTCATTTGAAAATTATAATTCTAATTATCTTAAAAGCTCATTTTCAATTGTTATTTTTTCGATTTCTTCCTCAATTTTATTTTATTAATTTTATTATTAATCCATTTATCTTTAAAAAATTACTAAAATGTTCTTAAAATCAATATATATATATTTTGAACTTGTATTATAATTTTTATAATTATTTATCTGGATCTATATTTAAACTATATTTATGATAATACTAATATTATCAAAGTAGCTTTTATATAGATTTATATTATAAAAAATGTTTTTTTATAAATTTACATAATTTTTTTTTTTTATTGTTCAATTTCTAAATTGACTGTATTTTTTTATTTCTTTATTAAAAAAAAGAAATATTATTTTATTAATTATTTTTTAATAAATTTAAAAAAATTCATATTATTCTTTATATTAATATAAATCAAGAATAAATAATACCTAAATTCAAGTAAAAAATTAATATTAAAATAGTAAAATAGAAATAAAAATTTATATATGAACATTGTTAAATAAAGATAAAAAAAAAACAAAATAATAAAATTTTTAATTATATTAAATTAATAAAAAAATAAAAAAAAAAAACATATAAAAAAAATAAAAAAAATAATAATAATAAAATATTATATCAAAAATATTAATATTTAATAAATGAATGATTAGCAAAATTCAAATAATACAGAATAATTAAACTCTGCAGTATAATCAAAAACTAAAAAATAATTAGCTGTTTTTATAAATAATATTTTTTATGTTAAAGAATGTATATATAAGGGATAATTTCATAATACATATAAAGGTAATTACAAAAAAAAAAAAATTCAAAAAAAAATAATAAATATGATTTATTCTTATTAATAATATAAAAAAAATATAATAAAGGAATAAATAGAAAGACAAAATAATAAGTAATGATCAGAATGGTATAATAAATAATACGAAATATTCAAAATATTTAATCACAAAAAAGTGTAATTAATATCATGAACATATAAATATTGAAAATAAAATGTTAAAGCAACTAAAAGATAGTAAATAATAAAACAAAAATAAAAAATAAACAAAATTGTTAATATTAAAGCATTTTAAATAATATATTTAAAAAAGTATAATGTATTCCTAAATGTCTATATAAAGGAGAAGAAAAATAAACGGATAAACTTATTTTGTAAAGTAAAATATATATATGTATATATATAAAATATATATATTATATATATTTATATAAATATATATTATTTTATAAATATTAAATATTTTTTCAATAAATAAGTTAATTTATTTTTATTTTTATATTTAATTAAAAAAAAATTAAATAATTTTAATAACAAAATTTTTTAATATTTAAAAAAAAAAATAGAATTACAGAATAATAAGGACCTAGTTTAAAAATGATATTTAAATTAATGGGAAATAATTTAAAAATCGGAACTGTTTGTATGTTTGCTGTAAATATGGTTATTTAAACAAAAACAATAATAATAACATATATTTTTATAAATACATATATATATATTTTTATAAATATTTATTTATATATAATTTAATTTTTTTTTTTAATAAAATAAGTTAACAATATTAGAAGAAATACATAAAGCAAATGTAATACATAGGAATTTAAAACCTCGAAAAATAATTACACATACTGATTTAAAAAGCAATTAATTGTTTTTATTAGATTTTAAATATTCACAAAAATATAAACATAAAAATGGGCATCTTATAAGATATTCTGAAAATAATAAAATTTTAAATAAAGTTTTTTGTAACAAATTTTCAAGTATAGGAACACATTTAGGAATATGTAAAAATTTATAAATTATTAATAAATATTTAAATATATATCTATATTATTTATATAATTAATTTATATTTAAAGCTCCATCAAGAAAAGATGATTTAGAATCATTAGCATATATTTTTATATATTTTTTTAATAATGGATAAATATTTGGTAAAAAAAAATTCAATTCGAAAGAAGAAAAATTAAAATTTTACGAAGAATGGAAACTTTCATTTATACCTGAAAATTTATCAACCAATATTCCTTAAGATTTCATAAATTATATAAATTATATAAAAGCTATGAATATATTAGATAATCCTGAATATGATTTATGGAAAAAGGTATTTAAATAATTACCTTCAAAATAGGATTACCATCATCTGAATATGAATTTGAATGGGTAAAAAAATAAAATAAATATAATTAAATATTTATATAATTATAAAAATATATTTAAAAATATAATTATAAATATTTATATATTTATTTATATTTTTTTTAAAAAAAATAAATATATTATCAGTAATTAAAAATAAAAAATTAATTAATTTAATCTTTTGGAATTAATTATTAATAATCTGAAATACCTTCTAATTAATTTTATTCTGAAATGATTTAAAATGATAAATAAATAAATATATTAAAAGACGAAAATTAAATATTCTATGAATAAGTTCTAAGTAATTAGCAATTAGATAAAATACTTATTAAGAAATTTAAGAATAATAATAAGAAGAAACAGGAGAAGGTCATTATTTTGCCATTTTAATTGATCCATAAGACTTAATATCTAAATAATCTAATACTAAAGATTCTTTACATTCTAATAATTTAAGTTTTTAAACTGCTGTAATCGATGATAATTTTCTGAAAGAAAATAATAGAAATAATATTCTAAATTTAATTTATATAAAGATGATCAAAATAATAATAAATTTAGCTTAAATAATAATTCTTTTGAAGATTTAAGCAATTATGATAATGAATCTATAAATAGTTTAGAATTATAATAATAAAATCATAAAAATTTTATTTGGACTCCTTTTTAATTTAAAAATAAATATGTAAAATATTGAATTCATAATTAAATTTCCTATTTTTTAAAAGATAGGAAGAAATTAATAATTTTTATTTATTTATTTTTTTATAAAAAAAAATTTTTTGTGTATACATATTTATATAAAATATAATTATTTTATTTTATTAATTTCTTTAATAATTTTTAATTTTACATTTAAATTTTTATATTAATTTTTTTTAATATAAATTTTTTGTTTTTTATATATAAAAAAATTAATTATTTTTTATAAATAAATAAAATATAATGAATTATTATATGAAATTTAAATAATAATAATTAAAAGTTTTTTTATAAATAAAACATAATTTATATATAAATATAATAATAATATAAGTATATATATGTATTAATAATTATATTATATATATAAAATTTTAATGTTAAAATAAATAATAATATTATAGTTTTAATATTATTTATATATTACTTTTTTATTAATTATATGGTATATTTTAATATTTAAAATCAATTTTATTATTAAAATTTATTAAAATCAATGTTGATAAAAAATAATATATATTTATTAAAAACAACAAAAACCTTTATGTTAATAAAAATAATAAAATTTCACCTTTTTTTATCTTTTTTATTCAATTTTAAATTATTTTAATTAATAATAATAAAAAAATATATTATTTTTAATAAATGATATATAAAAACATAATAACTATTATAACAATAAATAATTAATATAAATTAATAAATAGTAAATAATATTTAAAACATAAAGGAAATATAAAATAATGTCAAACTTATAAAGTAAAAATAAAATAAAGCTTCTACTCAAATATTAAATTAACATAAAACAATTTTTTTATATAAATTATATTTTTTTATTTTTCTTATAAATAATTAAAGATTAATAATAAAAATGGGATTGGATTCCCTGTTATCATTATTTAAAAACAGAAATAAATAAATAATAAACAACATGGAATCTTTAACCTTCTATAGTATTAACAAACCCAAACGAAGAAGTATTAATTAATAATTATTTATTTTTATTAAAAAAAAAAAAAAAAAAAAATTATATTTAATTAAATATAATTATTAAATCAAAAAACAAAAAATATAGAGTCCAAATCCTCATGTAAAGATATTTATTGATACCGAAAAAGCTCTATCATATACAGATGAATTAGGTTGGAATTGGTAAAAAGGTTAAAATTTGCCAAATATATCTATTAGACTTGAAGTAAAAAAAAATAATACTTTAATTTATTTATTTAAAAATAAAAAATAAAGATAAAAGATATGTAGATATAAAAAACATTATAATGTCCATAAAACTTATTTGTAAAAAATAAAAAAATATAAAAAAGTTATAAAATATATTTTATATATAATAAAGGCTCATATATTTGCTGTTAAAGCAATTATTGATTAATAAGATAATTTTTATTTAGTGGATGTTGGAATGAAAGGTGAAACAAAAAATAAATTAAAAAATGGGCAAGCATTTTTTCAAGCTATATAGTTTTCATCCACTTCCTGTAATAATGAAGGAGTTAAATTTCATTTAGTAATATGTATTTATATTTAAAATGAAAATCATAATTCACCTAAAATATTAAATGCAACTATATCACCTCCTATATTTGTAAATTCAAAGAGATAAATAAAGGATTATTAAAATATAAATGTAATTAAGAAAAATTAATATATTATTATATATAATAATATAAAATTATAAAAATAAATAAAATGTTTTTATTAAAAAAAAGGAAAAAAAATTATATATTATGTTTAACCTTTTGTGCCAGAAATTTTTGATAAAACATTTATTAAAAGATAAAATATAAAAAGAAATAGTTTAGAAATTATCATATTTAATAATTAAGATGGACTATATAATTATTTAACAGCTCAAAATATACTTCATAAAGTAATAAATTAATAAGCATATAATAAGAAATATTATAAAAAAAAGAATATATAAAAATATAAATATATAAAAATTTAAAATTAATAAAAAAGAATTATATAGATATACAAATATATTAATAAAAAATATATAAATATATATATATATTTATTTTAATAGGTAAAACATCCTTTGTTTTTAAGTTTGCGATTTTCTTCTTGTATAAAATTATTATATAATAAAAATTTATTAGAATAATATGATGTAAATAATTTAAAAATTCATATATAATTTTATAAAAAAAAGAATGAGTCACTAATTTAGTTCTTATAAATGAAATTAAATAAAGACTATTTTAAAAATAAAAAATATAATAACTAAATAGCTAATCAAAATAACGAATTAAAACCTTTTATTATATTAATAAAAGAAACTAATGATATAGAGAAAAATAAAAAAATAATGGAGGAATTAGAATTATTACAATGTAATTCTTTATAAGTAATTTACGATGCTTTTAAAGTCCCTTAAAATTACAAAGATATAACAAATAATACATAAGAAGGAATTAATGAATTAATAAATGCATATAGAAAATAATATAATATTTTAATAACATTATCAAAATCTATTGGAAATATAGAGAATGATTAAAAATAAGTAAAAGAAATATAGTATATTAATATATATATATATATATATATATATAAATATATATATATATATATATATTTATTTATATTTTATTTATATTTTTATTTTTATTTATTTTATATTAATTATTTTATTTAATTTTTGTATTTTTATTTTTAGTTATATATTTTTTAATTTAATATTATTTATAGAATAGTGAAAGTTTAAGCCACAAAGAAGAGAGTATTAATTCATATAATTAATAAAATAAAATTAAATAAAAAAATGATAATTAAATTTATTTTTTAAATTCATCTTCAGTTTAAGAAGAAAAAAAAGAAACTTAAAACACTAATAAAAAATCTTTAAATTAATAATAAAAATATAAAATAAAAAAGGAAAATATAAATAATTAAATTAATTAAAAAGAATTATTAAAAAATACACAAACGATATAATAACAAGAATAATAAGAATATATAGAATATTAGAAATAATAAGAATAATAATCATTATAATAAGTCGTTTAAATATAAATAAAAGAAAAATAAATATAATAAGTCAAATAAGAAAAATAATTATAATAATCTTCATAAATAAAATAAGTTTAATAAGTATAGTAAGTTTAATAAGTTTAATAAATATAATAAGTATAATAAGTTTAATAAGTATAATAAGTATAATAAGTTTAATAAGTGTAATAAGTATAACAAGTATAACAAGTATAATAAGTATAACAAGTATAACAAGTATAATAAGTATAACAAGTATAACAAGTATAACAAGTATAATAAGTATAATAAATTTAATAAGGTTAGTAATTACAATAAGTATAATAATTCAAATAAATATAATAACAAAAAATATAATAATCAATTTAATAATAACCTTAAAAAGTTTTTAATACTAAAATAGAAAATGTAATTTTAATTATTTTTATAATTATATATCTATATATATATATATATATATTAAATTAGAATAATATTTAAATTGTTAATAATACTTTTACATAATAAAATATATAAAATATTCCTTAAATTATTAAATAAATACCTCCTCCTACTGCTATTAATCTTACAGCTCCGGCTTAACTGAATATGTACTTGAATTAAGGAAATTAGATTATAATGTAAACTCCACCAGCTCCACCTCAACCAAACATAGCATATGTAAATCCTTAAATTATGAATATGAATCATAATTAAGGACTAAATATGGCTAATGTTGTAATGATTCCTTTACAATTATAATAACCTATGATGCATTAATATTAATATCAAAATTAATTACCTTTTTAATCCTAAGCTAATTATGTATTGCCTTCTCCTGGTTAAGATATATAATATATGATGGGGTAAATTATATATACTTATATATATTTAAAATTTTTAATTAGTTAATAAATGTTAGTATGGCCTCATTAAGGATAATAATAAAACCCATAATAAATTATATCTGGAGCTGTAAATCATTAGGGTAATTTTTTATATAAATTTAATAAAAAAATTATTAAATTTTTAATTAGTATAAATGGCAAATCAATAAATTTAATAATAATAATAATATTAATAAAAATGATAATAAAGTTTAAACTATTTATTGTTCATTATAAAATAAAAATATTTAATTTAAATAAGTATTATTTTTCTTAATTAAAATAAAAAAAAAGGAAGAATTTTTTCTAATATTATATATATATAGCAAAAAAATATTTTTTATAATATATATATATATTATAATAATATTTAAAAATAATTTTTTGATAATAAAAGAAGATATAAGTATTAAATTTTTTATTATAAAAATGTTAATTAAATTTTATATATATATTTAAAAATTATATTATTAATAATAGTATTTTTTTTTTACATAATTAATAAAAATAAATATAAATACATATTTTTATAAATTAAATAAAAAAATAAATTAAATATTTATATATATGTATATGTTTAAAAATTGAAAAAGATAAAATATTTATATTTTATCATTTAGCCTGATTTTTTTATTATTAAATTTCCTTTCTATTCCTACATCTTAAATTATTTAATCTATTTACACTCTATGGATCCAAACAAGCTTTAATATAATCGTTTCTGACAACTCTATGTGCTTAAATATCTTAAACACTACTTTAAAGTAACCAATTTTCTAATTATTATTCTAAAAAATATAAAAATACTGGATTTAATTCTGATTAAGTAATTTAGATGATTAATTTATTATTATATTTAATATTTTATTCGTTATTTTTTAATTTTTTAATTTCTAAATTAAGACTGTTTTTGGTAAAAAAAGGAAATTATTATAATAAAAAATCTATATTTTTTAAAAATTTATGAAAGCCTTTTATGTAGTTTTTTACAACATTTTTTTTATCGATTTTTTTCACTTTTATTCCAGCCGTAGAATTCTCATTATCTAAATCTTATATTTTCTCAGGATTTAATATACAATTTTATTATAATTTTATATCAGTTTTTTACTAAAAAAAGCCTAAAAATATATTTATTTAGTATGTTATTTACCTATTATTTTAATTTAATTAGTATATTAAGGATAATAAGTTCTTTTTTTCAATTATTTTTATCGAAAAACTAAACGAAAAATACTATTCATTATTATTATCTGTATTGATGTTTATTTTTAATTCCATTTTTCCCTCTTTTTAATTTTATGGCGATTATTTATGCATTAAATTTAATAATTAAATGTTGTCCTCAAAAATATTGGCATTAATGAATATAATTTAGATTATGTTGTCTTAAATTATATTAATTTAAGGGTTAATTATAGGTATATTACTTAATAAATTTTGGTTGGAAAATATTTTATTTGTTTTAGAGATATAAATTATATTGTAGTTAGATGTTGAAATTTCAAGTTATTAAGAATTTTACATTTATATTTTTAATTTTATAATATATTTTAAGAAGAGAGAATAATTTAAATTTTATAAAATTATTAGAAAAGTAATCAAAAAAAAAAGTTATTTTTTATAAAAATATATAAATATATATATAATATATATATATAAATAATTAAATATAAATATAAATATATAAATATATAAATACATAAATTTATCAATATCATTTTTATCATAATATTTATTTATACTATATATATAATATTGTATTTTCAAATAAATTATAAAATGAAAAAAAATATAAAAAAATAAAGAAAAATTAAATATAAATGATATAAATTGTTGTTTATAATAAAAAGTTTAAAGATTAAATATTTTATTTATATATATATAAAAATATAAATATTTTATATATATATTATAATTATATATATGTATAATTAACATGTATATAATAAATTTTTTTTTATTAAAAAATAAATATATTATTAAATATCTAAAAAAAAAAATTTTATTATTTTTAATTATATAGTCTATTTTAATTAAATAAATATTTTATATAATAATATATTATTTTTTTATTTATAATTTATACACTAAAATGAATTTATATAAATTAATAAAAAAAAAGCAATATATTATTTCTATTTTAATTATTTCTTAGATAAACGTATTTTGTTTATATATTAAACTTTTATAATTTATATTTAATATAATAATAAATTATTTATTAAAATAGATTTATATAAAAAAAAAAATAGCTTATATATATAATTAATCTAATTTATATATATTTAATTTTAGTATAATATATTTCAATAATATTTTTATTAAAAAGCAAAAAATATTGTTTTTGTAAATATAAAAAATAAAACCTTTTTTAAAACAATATAAATAATTTTTTTTTTAAAATATATAAATACAATTAATTTTTTATCATATTTTTAAATTATTATAACTATTACAAATATTATCTAAAACTAAAAAGGAATTTTCAAAGTCTGATCTTTCTAGTCCATATTAATAATACCAATGTAAATAAGCATTTGCCTTAAATTTTTATTAAGCAATATCATTAATATTTTATATAATTCCAGCAATATTAGACCTATTACTAATAGCGAGTATCATTTTATAATCTATTCCTTCATTAGCTTTTTCATTTATATATTCGTAATTTATATTATCGCAATTCCATAAAACTGGATTAAAAGTTTAAACAATTTTCCTATTAATATATTTCATTAGACTTTCATTTTGTTTTACATTCTAAAAATAAATATATAAATAAAAAAAAATATAAAAAAATGAAAAAGAAAAAAAAATTATAAAAAAATAAAATTAAATAAAAAAAATATAAAAAAAAAAAATAAAATAATAATAAATATAAAATAGTTAAATAATATATAATATATATATATATATATATATATATATATATATATATATATAATAAATTTATATTAACTTTTTAAACATCTCCTCCTCTCAAAATGCATTAAGTAGTTATTGAAACATCTTTTTTCTATTCATTTTTCATAAAATCATATTCAAATCCACAATTATCTTCATTATCTTTTGTTGAAACAATTTAATTTTAATAATCTACGTTAACCTAAGATAGTAAACAATCAAGTGTTTTTTCCCATTTACATTCAGGTCCAGTACTTTATGTTTTATTATAATAATATGGTGTAGAATAAATTTCAACAAACTAATTAAAAAAATAACATATACATATACATATAAATATTATATACTTTCATATCATTCATTGGAGCTGTATCCATCAAAATATCAAAATAAAATCTATTAAAATTTTTATAGTCATTTATTCTCATTAAATTTAATATATTAGAAGCTATATATTAATTAATATTATTTAAATCAATTACTTTTTCAACACTTTTACTTTAAGAATAATTTAAATAGGTGTTAATTTTATCATTCTAAAAATAAATTATACAATCCGAATACTCTTACATATAAGATAACGATAAAGCACAATTATAATGTTATAGAGTACTTTCTCCAGATTTATTTGGAAACACTATAGTATTAATTAATTCTATATCTTCAAATATTTCTCTCATTTCTTATAATAAACGAGAACCAAAACCACTCCCAGTACCTCCTCCAATACTTGAAATCATATTAATTCCAATAAAATAGTCAGTTCTTTCAATTTCTTTTCGAATTATTTCTGTTGAATTTTCAATCATTTATGTATTTTCTTTTAATATATTATTATTCACATTTATTTTTTAAACATTTTTATATTAAATTTTATTTTCAGAAAATTTATTAAATTTAACCTCAATTTCATCCTTTTTTTATTATTGTTGCCTTTATATTAACTTTTATTCGTCCATATAACCTAAACACCAATTATTACCGCGTCCATTTTATAAATAAAGTACATTTTTTGAATTTATATATGAATATTTCTTCCTGTTTTCTGTTATTGGTTTTATTATTTTAGGTTCAGTATCTATATGAATTGAATGGTATAAATTATAGTCTTATCTCTTTAAATATGAATCTTCATATTAGCCAGATGTTTAATCAAAATAATCCAAAAGTTAAAGTCCTATTTAATTTCCACATTAACCTATATCAATAAGAAGAGAACCCATATATATATATATTAGATAAATTTAATAAATGTATTTAAATTTTTTATAAACAAAAAAAGATTGATTTAAAAAAATATATAATTTGTATAAGTAAAATTATAAAATAAATGTATATGTATATGAATATGTATATATATATAAATATATATAAATATATATATATATATATATATATATATATATATAATTATATTTATATTTCATTAATTATTATTATTATCTAATAATAAGTTTTTCTATAATAAAATTTTTCCTAATTATTTATAAATTAAAACTTATTTTTCATTAGAAAGAGAAACGATTCCCATTAATATATTTTCTACACTTTAGGATTGACTACCTAATACAAACTAATGTATATATACATAAGTAAACATTCCCTTTTTTTTTTTTAATTACAATATAATAAAAAATATATATACCATTAATAATTAACAATCCATTCTGTCTGTAATACCACCATGTCCTGGAATTACGTCAGCAAAATCCTTTATTTTTATAGCCCTTTTAAATCCTGATGCAAAAAAACCTCCAAAAGGAGCTATTAGAGATGCAAACATACTCAAAACTAATGAATGGAACTAAAAGTCTGAAAAATAGATATGTTAAATGTTAAAAATAGCCTAGAATACTTCTGGGAAATCATATTATTTATAAATAAAAATTTAATTAGGTGTGCAATCTGGTTAAATAAAAGGCGTAAAAATTAATTTATTTGAAGGACAAATTAATAGTGGAATTTATTATAATAAACCTGACAACTTTTTTTTTTTAAATTTATTTAATTTTTAAAAAATAAAAAAAATATTCGAGTTTTTTATTATATTTATATATAGTTTATTTTTTTACAAATAAAGCAAATAATATAGAGCTAAAAAATCCTCCAATAAATCCTTCCCAAGTTTTTTTTGGCGAAAGTTCAATAAGTTTAGTTTTTCCAAATATTTTTCCAAAAATATAAGCAAAAATATCATTAGTAATAACTAACATAGTAGGTAAAATAAACCAAATCATTCCATCTAATAAATTTACAATTATAAAAGATACTTAAGCAACAACTAAAATAAGAGCTAAATGAGTCCATGCAAATTATCTAAATTAATATCTATAATAACCTTTTTTTAATGATATGACAAATACTAAAAAGCCTATAATCCATAATGAGAAAGATATAAATTTGTGATATTTTATCATTATTTACAAAATAGTATTAAAAATTATTACTCCTTTCAGTTTTTATTAAAATAAAAGACCATAGAAAAAATAATTCCCTACAAAAAAAAAATACCAATTAATTACAAAAAACCAAGGAATACGAATTTCTTTATTAAAATTTCGTTTCAATGATATGATTTCTTTAAAAATACCTATATAAAATAATGAATATAAATATATATATATATATATATATATATATTATAATAATTTTTTTATATATTTATTTATATATTTTTTATATATTTTTTATATATTTTTTATATTCAATTTCATATTACTAAACATTATTAATTATATCAAAAATGTACAATATAAAGGACCAGATGCTATTACTCCTATAAAACCTACTAACATTACTATTGTCCATACTGTTCTTTACATAAAACTGTATGCATATTTATACATATATATAACTTATTTATATTATTATTTTTGTTATTTTTAACTTGTTTTATACTATAGGTAAAGGCATATTTCTCGATAATTTATTTTATTCTTATTATAATTATTATTGTTATTACTATAATTATTTCTTTTTATTCATTTATTAAATTAAAAATAGTTTTTAATTTTGATTTTCTTATATATATATATATATTTTACGTTAGAATTAGGTTTTTAGTTCATTTTATCTTAAAAAATTTTTAATTCATTTTCTGAAGCTGAAAATTCTTATTCTGTTGTTTTTTCATCTGTTTCTTCTGATTTATTCATTTTGATTTTATTTTATTTTACTAAATCAAATATTTATTAATTTAATATGTAAATAACTATTTATAATATTTATTTATAGAAAATTATTTAATTCAAATTCTTTCTTTTTTTTTATTTTAAAATAAATAAATTTTTTTTTTATATAAGAAAAAAAAAAAATTATATTTATAAATTCTAAAATATAATTATTAAAAAAAAATATTTATAATTAATAAAAAAAAATAAAAAAAATATTAATTATAAAATAAATAATTATTTTAAAATAAAAAAAATACTAACATAATTTATTTTATATATATATATATATATATATATATATATATATATATATATATATATTATATATATATAATATATTTTCCTTTATACAATATTAATTAATAAATATATATCAGATAAGTAAATATAAATATAATATAATTTTAACTTTATATTTTAAATTATTACTTAATTAAAATTTATACTAATATTCCTTTAATATATATCATTATAAAAATTATTATTATAAACATTTTTATTTTTTAAATTACATAAGTTAATAATTAAAAATCTATTTATCATGAAATTCTTTTTAATAAATAATTTTTTTTTGGAATTAAGGTTTTTAAGATTATTATTTTATATACATATTATAAGCTTATAAATATTTTTAATAATATTATAATAATTATAATATACTTAGAAAAAATGTAAATAAACCTAAAATTTTAATCATATATTTTGAAAATTATATTATTAGTATTATTATTTATTTTATAATATAATAATAATTGTCTTTAAAAATATTTTTTTTATTTTTTTATAATTAAAAAATATAAAATGTTATAAATTTAAATTTAAATTTAAATTTATATTTAAAACTTATGTATATAATATATATATTAAATATGTAATTTCATAAAATATATTTATTATAATCGATTATAATTTCTATTTTTAAAAATTTTTATTTATTTATAATGTTTTATATAATTTATAAATAATATATATATATTAATTTTATATTGTTATTTTTTTTTATTAATTAATTAATAAATACTAATAATTTTAAATTTTATTTACAAAATTTTTTTTTAATACTTAATTTTATTACAAAATATTTTCTTTTTTTTACAATTTATATTTAAAAACATATTTTTTTATATTTAATATCAATATACAATAATTAAATATATATACATAAACAATAAAAATACAATCATTCTTAAAATTCTTTAAATTTAGTATATTTTTCTTTCATTAAATCAGTTTCATTATTTAAAGCATATGTTAATTTGTTAGATGTTTATTAAATCTAAAAAAATAATATATATTAAATGCTTTTTTTTATATTTACTTTATTTAAACTCTCGATTGATTAATTTAATAAATTATTCATATTTTTTAATTTTTCTTTTCTTTCATTTTATAATCTCTTACTTTATATGTATTAAATATTTAATTTAGATTATGCTAATAATAATCTTTATAAATCCATTTTATCTTATTATAAATATTACATTACTTTTTATTTTTCTAATTTCATTTAATTTATACCTTTATTTATTATTTTAGGATTTTTTTTTCGAAAAAAAGAATACTATTTTATAGATTTGTAAATGCTAATTAATCCATAAAAATATTTTTATTTTTATTTAAATATAAAATAAATTGATAAAATTAGATTTTTATAAATAAAATTTATTTGAAAATAAATAAGAAATAATTATATTTTTAAAAAAATATTAAATTATGATAATATAAAATATGATTCTTCAATATGTTAAATTAATTAAAAAAATAGAAAAAAAAAAAGTGGAAGAAATAATATTATAAAAAAAAAATTATAATTAATAATATAAAAATAAGTAAAAATGAAAAAAATTGAAAAAAAATGAAAAAAATTGAAAATAAATGAATAAAAAATAAAAATAAAAATAAATATATATGTATATATATATATATATTATCTTTTTTATTTAAATATAATATTTATATTTTTATTTAATATATTTTTTATAATTACATATTTTTATTTTATATTTTTTTTATTTTATTTTATATTTAAAATTTACTTTTTATTTTTTTATATATTATTTACATAAATTCTTTTTGAAATTTCACAATAAATTTTAAACAAAATAATATTTTTATAAAAAAATGTTTTTTTTTATGAATTTTTAATATATTAAGCATTTATAAAAATAATTATATATTATTTTAAAAAATTAATATAAAGCATTTATATATTATGTTAATCTGTTAATAAATTGTTCATTTTTATAATTATATAAAACATATACAATCTAGATTTTTTAAATTTGAAAATAAAATAGGAACAATTAAAGTATTAATAATGCAAAGGACATTTTCAAATTCCTCAAAAAGCTAAACCTAAATAACCTCTTAAATAAAAAAAATTTCCTCCAGACCAATCTTCTTCATCAAACTCAAATTCATAAAAAAAATCTCTTTAAATAATAAACAACAGTCATATTTAAATATAAAAAAAAATTCCTGTTTAAATATAAAATAACATTCCTCTTTAAATATAAAATAACATTCTTTTTTAAATATAAAATAACATTCCTATTTAAATATAAAAAGCCAATAAACAAGGGGAAGAAAAAGATGAATTAAAATAATAAATAAAAAAAGAAAAAAACATATTCAACGATATACGTGAAGACATATTAACCAAAAAAGTCGAAAAAGTTTTTTTTAAACTCCATCAAACAAATAATTAGAGATTTGCCTTAAAATTTTTTTTTTAACATATAACAAAATTTACATACACTCACAGAATTAAAAATTTAACAAAGCTTCAAAAACATTTAATTCGAGACATTTCTTTAGCCGAAAATAATACAGTAATAAAAAAGCAAGCTTATATAAATAAAAACTTAGCTTATTATTAAGATGATGAAAAATAGAATATTTTCTAAAAAATCTTTCAGTTTTTTGCCCCTTTTTAACCCTTCAAATAGTTATTTAATAATATGGGATATCATATAATTAATTTTTATTCTAGTATTTTTCTATGCTGTCCCTCTATAAATAACATTCTAATCAGGATTTTAAAGTTTTGTCTCTAGAGAACTTTTTAATACTGGAATTCTTCTATTTATGGTCGATAATTTCATCTGTTTAAATACTAGTTATTTCGAAAAAGGTATACTAGTTTAAGACCGTTATCTAATATTAAAGAATTACATTAAAAGTCATTTAATAACTGATTTTTTATCTAATATACCTTTACTTATAGACTATTTTTATTTCCCTTTAAGAGATAGATGAGGGATGTTAATGCTTGTTTAATTTTTTAAAAATGACAGAATAACAATTATAATTCGGAAAATAGAAGAGTTTTTTCATTTAAATCCTACATAATAATAATTAGTTTCTCTTTTTAAATTATTGTCTATTATATTATTTATAGCCCATTTGTTTGCCTGTATTTGGATTTATATAGCGATAGAAAAATCATAGTCTTGGATTATTAAATAAGATTATGAAAACAAAAATTGGATTTCTTAGTATTTAATTGCATATTATTTTTCTACAGTCACTATTATTACAGTAGGATATGGAGATGTTCTTCCAGTAATTTTTTGTGTATTTTATTTATTATATATATATATATATGTATGTATAAATATATGAATGAATATATTTTTTATAATAAATAAAAATTTAAAGACAACAACATATGAATATCTTATGTATTGTTACTATGTTAATTTCTTGAGGAACTTTTGCATATGCAGTTAATTAAATAAGAAGTATATTTGAATTGTTAGGTAGTTAAGACAAATATGTAAAAGAAATGATGTATATAATAAGTAATTATATGCATATAAAGAAAATTTCAAAAGATATATATAATGAAATAAGAGAATATTTATAATATTATTAGAAAGAAGAATAAAATAGGTATAATATAAATTAATAAATATATATTAAAATATTTAATTATATATATATATATATATATATATATATATATATCTTATTTTCATTTGATTTAGCAATGAAATATTATTCATGTTGTGATTTTAAGCATTTAGTTTAAAATTGTCCATATATTCATTTATTAAATAATATATACAAATTTACGAAAATAATGAATTATTCAATTAATTAAAAAAGATACAAAAAATAAAAACTTTAAAGAGATAAAAAATATTAACATAGTTTTTTAATAAAATAAGACATATATGAAAAAGCTGAATAAATCTAATAAAATTTTTCTATAATTTTAGATGAACTTTATGGTCATTTTGATTTTATTTCGAATTCTGAAGAAGATTAATATTAAGAAAAATTATAAAATCAATAAGAATATAATTAATAGGAAATTATTAATAATAATAATACATAAGACAATTTATTAATCTCAGATATAAAACAGTAAAACAATTCCACAAATAGTTTAAGTAGTAGTACTATTAGTAATAAATCATTAGATAGTAAAAATAGATTATTTCTAAAAAATGACTAAAAAGATAATCAAAATAGATGAAAATAATTACATAAACACAGACTTAATAATAAAAAACGAAGAAAATATATAAGAAATATCCCCTTAAACAGTAGTATAAAAACGTAATCTAATAAACAAAAAATAAGTATAAATTTTGGAGTTAAAAAGAACTGAGATTCTAGACGAAATTCAAAAAGATTGAAACTAAAAGATAATAATGGATAATAAAAAATATAAAAATAAGAAAGTATATCATCATCTATATCTAATTAAGAATAGAAATAATAATTATTACGAACAGTAACTTCAATGCATTATAATAAATAAAAAAATAGTGAAAATAATAATATATTTTTAAAAAATTAATAAATAGAAAACTTCTTTTAAAATAAATTCTTTTCTTTAATTAATAATTAATAATTATAAATTAATTAAAATTCCAAAAATTTCCTTGTTGAAGGTTCAGATAATAAAACTGAATTCTTTTCAATTTATGATCTTGATAATTTCAAAAAATTTCAATTTTATTTCCCAAATTATAATTTAGAAAATGTTATTTCAAAATTTAATATACATCAATTCCATAAATAATAAAAGGTATAAAATATAAGTTTATTATTAAATAAAAATCATTATTAACCTAAACCATCTATTTAAATTTAAACCCATACTCATATTGATTTTCGTAAAAATAAACGTATAGGTACTAATTTGGGAACTTCCTTTATAACTAATAACCTAATTAAGAAAATTTAAGAAGAAAATTAAGAAGAAATAGAGAATAATAGTATGCATAGTGATTAAAATTCACATTATAATGACAATAGTCCTTTATCTATTAGAAACAATAAACGAAATAATACAAAAAGACACACAAGTATTATCCCTATGGGAGTTTTGGAATAGGAAAAAAAGAATAATATGTAAAATTTTTCTTAGTTTAGTAAATTTTAGTAAAAAATATAAAAAATACAAGAAGAAGATGATAAAATTCAAGAGTATTAGCAAGATAATGAAAAAAGTATAAAAAAAGAAAATTCTATACTATCTAAAGAAAAGTCTATTAGTATTTAAAGTGACAATATATTTTTAGAATTATCTTCTTTTTTATAAATTTATGAAAATGGAAATTTACATACTTTTAATAATTTACAAAACAATATAATGATTTAAAAAATGTATTAGAAATGAATTGTTAATAAAAAAAAATATATAGATAATATTATAGAATATATATATATATATATATATATATATATTTATATATATATATATATATATATTTTCTTTTTTTTCGATATAAAATTAATGTGAATTAAAATAATTTCAATTTTTTTCTTTTTTTTTTTTAATAAAAAAATATTAATTCTTTTTAATAAAAAATTCATTTTTTAACAAAAAAAAAAAAAAAAAAAAAAAAATACAAATGGCAAAATCAAAAAATTCAACTAATAAAAATTAAATTTCTAAGTCTCATAGAAATGGCATTAAAAAGCCTAAAAATGAAAGATATATTTCATTAAAAGGAGTAATATATACAATAATTATTTACTTATGAAATAATAAAATATATAAATATAAAAAGGTTAACTCAAAGTTTTTAAGAAACAGAAGAAGAGCTATTGCAAATGATCCTTCAATTAAAAAGAATAAATCTCTTGAAAGAAGAGTAAAAGCAAAAACTGGGAAATGAACGAAAACATTAAATTTGAAATAAATATTATTTAATTGGGGTTTTCTTTTTTATTATTACAAAATTGTGTTTAGAAGAAAGGATTAAATATATGTATTACAAAACATTATTATGTATATATTTTTTTTTTTTAAAAAAAAAAATATATATATATATAATATAAAAAATATTTAAATCTTTTAATTATCAAATAAAATAAAAATCTATCTATAAACATAACAAAAAAAACTTACATATATATTTAATTTTTTTTTTTTTTTTTATAATATCAAAATTAAAAAATATATATTTATAATACATCCAAATAAAAAATCAAAAAAATAATACAAAAAAAAAACAAATATTTATTTTTTTAGAAAAAATAAAAATATGTAATCTTAATCTAACGACGAACATCCTGAAAAAATCACATAATCATACAAAATCGGTTTAATATACAAACGAAGTAAAATCTTAAAATTTTGGAATAAACGCTAAATAACTCTTAATTATAAAAAGTAAACTATGATATTAAAAAACTCTAAAAACTCAAAAGAAAAATCCTTCTAAATCCCAAATTATACTACCGAATGGGTTGGTAAATCAAAAAATTCTAAAATTTATTACTTTAACATCCGTTTAATAAAAGAAAACAATTAAAAAAATACCCAAAAAATAATTTCCATAGGAGATCTTGACGAACAAAAAGCAAAGCAATGGAAACTTGAAATTGACAATATAATAAAAAATATATATAATTTAAGCAACAATGAAGAAAATTCATAAATATAATAATAAATTCATTAAAAAAACAATACTAATACACTATAAATACCTGGTTAACCCGAAAAAAAAAAATAGCCTACTATAGACAAAAAAAAGAAATAGAAAAATAAATAAGAAGACTGTAGTTTTGAATTTGAAATAGATGAATATTAGGAACGAAAACCTAATGAAAAAGTACAAATTCCATCCCAAAGCTTCAAATATTTATAGTTTATGCCCGATACAGTAATAGATACGTCCCTTATAGATTCTATTTTAAAAGAAACTCCCTAAATAATATAATAGGATGTAAAGGAAATATTATTAAGTTATTCTGAAAGTTAATAGAATTTCTATAAAAAACTTCTATAATAATAAAATAACGGAGTTTAATTAGAAAAAGATATCAATTTTTGTGAAGATAATTATTTTTTTAATACACTATTCGAAAATTTGAAAGTTTAGGAAATTTTCGAAGAAATTTAAATGCCTTCAAGTATATAGGGACATTGGAATACTTAAATATAGGATTATTAGATAAATCCAGTGGTTTTTTAGCATAAACTATGGAATAATTTGAATAATGTGTACTTTTAGTTTAAATTTTAGGAAAATAATAATATTTAATTGATACCAGTTTAGTTTTTTAGGTATTCTGTTCGTCTATCAAATGCTTATTTTATTTGGGAAATTTAATAAATAGAAGAGTAGGGTGTTTCTTTAGATGAAAATAATAAATTTGTTAATAAATATTGCTTTTTTTCAGATTTCTAAAATTCAAAATCTACCAGATTTTTTATATAAACAAAAGCTTCTTTTAAAAATTAAAACTAAGAAGACACATAATTAAATATTAGAAAATATTTAAATGGCTTTTTAGGTCTTAATTCAATTAAATAAATTGATAATAACCCAAAAATAGATATAATTTTAGTCAATGATAAATAAGAAAGAAATTCTTAAAGCTCAGATGAATGTGATGACGATTTTTTAAAAACTAAATATATATCAATTGTTATGAATACGTAAACATATATAAAGTAAAATTATATATATTTATTTGTATGAAAGCCCTGTAACAAATGGAAATGCTGAAAACGATTATACTAATTAAGAAATAGATACACTTATAATAAAAATAATAAATAAAGAATATATAAGATAATGTATTAGAAATAAGCATGAAATGAGAATAATAAAAGGTAAATAAAAAATAAATATTATATATATATATATATATATATATATATATATATATATATATTTTTATATATATATTTTTATAAATATATTTATATACATATAAAAAAAAAGGAATGAATCAAGTAGTGCCTTCAACAAAAGAAAAAGGACATTATTGTTGGGGATTACATTATAAAAGAGATGAAAAAAAAGGCGGTTTACTATATTTAAACGAATAATTAATGAAAGAATAAAAGCTAGTTATTTATAGTATAGTGAAAAAAATCGGTTCTAATATTTTAAATGGCAAATCTATTATGAATATTTCCATGCCAGTTTAACTTTTTGATAAGAAATCAATGATTTAAAGACTTGCTAAAGGATTTGGACATGCCCCAAACTTTTTAGAAAAAGGAGGTTTAACAAATAGTTATATAGAATAAATTAAATATTGCGCAGCTTTTATGTTATCTTCCTTTATTATGGGATTTAATTAAGGCATATATTAATTAATATATTATTTTTTTATATTCTTTAAAAATAAATAGAAAAACCTTTCAATCCTATAATTGGTGAAACTTTATAAGGTAGATTAAATGGATGTCCTATATACTTCGAACAGACTTCACATCATCCGCCTATTTCTAATTATTATTTATATGGAAGAGGATATGATTTATATGGATGTCATATTTCAGCAGTAAATAAAAAAGATACAATACATTATAAATGCATTAAAATATATATAAAAAAGGTAAATATGGGAGCAAATTCCCTAACTGGTTATTTGCAAGGAAATCCAATAATTCATTTTAAATAAAACAATTAAAAAGTATATTGTCTATGGAATAGTTTTAATTTATTTGGTACCGCAATAGGTACTCGTATGTTAAATTGTTTCGGAAAAGCATATGTACTTAACCCTTCACAAAACTTAATTTTAGAAATAATTTACAATCCGAATAATGCAAATGGATTTACAAGTTTATTTTCTAAAAAAAATCAAATCGATGAATTTATAGGTTGCATCTATAAAGTACATCCTGGTGTCTGTGATAAATTCATGGAAGCCCATAAGTCCCTTTCAAAAAAATAATAAGAAGTTTCATTAGACATGAATAAAGATATAGTAGAATTAATATCTAGGGCTTCAGGTATTTGGAATTCTCATATAGATTTCGATGATGTAAGGTATTGGGATGATTCTTAAGATTTCCCATATAGATGTGAATATGAAGTAAACCCATTACCTTCGGATTCTAGATTTAGAATAGATATGTTATATTTATTGAAAAATGATTTGAAAAAATCTTAAGCAGAGAAAGAATTAATGGAAGAAGTTTAAAGACATGATTAAAGGTTGAGAGACATAAATTAAAAAAAATTAAAAAAAATTGAATATATTTTTTTTATATAATTATATTTTATTTTTAGATATTATTTTTTAAAGTTTTGTTATTTTAAATAAATATAAATATATATTATTAGTAAAATAAATATTAAAATTTTTAAAAATAAATAAAAAAAAATGAATAATTTGGATAAATAAATGTATAAAAAAGCTAGAAAAACAAATGTAAATTTATAACAAAAAAATTTAAAAAAAAATTTAAATAAAAATAAAAAAAAAATATAAAATAAATATATATATATAAATATATATTAAAATATATATTTATATATATTTATATATATATATTAGTAAATATGGTTACATTAATAAAGATGATATCTAAATCGGAAGCCATGAAATGGATAAAAAATTTAATACTGAATGCTCAAATTATTATTATTGTTATGATAATTGTTTAAAAGAATCTGAAGGAGATTGGGTAAATTGTAAATATTACCGAAAATCTTTATAAAAATGTGAAAGAGAGAAATCATTATATCCAATATTTAATGTCTGATTAAATAAATTTATTTTGTTATTAAAATATAAATATTATGAGAAAAAAAATAAAAAATAAATAAAATATATATAAAACATTTTTTTTTCAATTATTTTTTTAATTTTCTTATTTTTTATTAATAATTTAATTTTCACTCATATTTTTACATAATTTCCTTATATTATTTTACTAATAAGAATTATTATGAATTTACTAAATTAAATTATTTAAATTTTCCTTTTATTTTTAAATCTTTTCAATTTATTCTGGATATTATTTTTTTAATTAACTAAAAGCTTTTTTACTTATACTATAATTATCCACTTAATAAATCGGAGCAATTTTTTATTTATACATATTAGTTAATACACTATTATTCTTTTTCTCTTAAATTTCTTCTTTGTTCATATTTATTATTAATTTCTCATTTATTAATGATTATATTTAAATTTATTAACTTTATATTTATTTTAGCTTTATAGGTTTAAATTATTTCATAGGCTTATATTATATATCTCCAGATTTATAACAATTATATTTATTTGAATCAAAATTTAACAAATCTTTATCTAAAAAGCTTTAAGAAAAAGTCTTAATTGATTAAGATTTATTTATTTTTAAGGATTCTGTATTTAATTGACTATTTTTATTATTTTTAGATAATTCTGTTTTAATAGCTTATAATTTCTATATATATTTATTTTAATATATATATATATATATATATATATATATATATATATATATTTTTACGAATTTATGGAAGAATATTTTGTCATTTCTTAATGGAATTGTGTCTTCTACTTTATGTGTACTTGATTTAATTATATATTTTGCAAGATTTCTAATATTTTTATCAAAAAAAGCACTATCAAGTATTTTTAAGTAACATTCTTCGCATACACTTATTTTTTTTAACTAAAATATTGGATTACTCTTATTATTTATAAATTGTTCATATTATAAATTAGGAAAAAGTTTTCTTAAAACTTAAGGGACTTAATAGTTTTTATTAATCTTTAATTTTTTTATAAAAATTTTATATCAAAAAAAAAAAAAAAATACATTATAAAAATTAAATGTAGAATGTTTTCTTTTATCTTAAGTATTTAATTGTTTTAATTCTTTTTATTTTTTTAATAATTTTTCATTCTTTTTTTTTTTTTTTTTAATATATATATAAAAGATTATAAACCTTTGATAATTCATATGATGCCATATATTAATCTTCTGAAATATGATCAAATTCCCATGCTTAAATGACAGTATCTAAATTTATTAGATATACAGATTCTTAATCTATATATTTATCACAATTTAAGCATCTAGTATAATAAAAATAATTAAAAAAATAATAAAAATACAAATCAGATTTATTCAAAATTAAAGGCCTTTATAGTTAAATTTTATTTTAATTAATATAATCTGGTATACTATAAGAATATTCATTATTTTCTGTAAAATGAATACTCTAAAATTATATATATTTTTTTAAAAAAAATTAATTTTAAACCAAACAAAAAAATAAAAAAATATTTCTACTTCTTCAGTTTTTATATTTTGACATAAAATTAAATAGATTTTATTTTTTTAGTCCATTTTATAAATAAGTTCCATTTATTTGATTTTATTTCCATAAGGAGATACTTTTTCTATATGTTAAGATATTTTACTTGTTAATTAATCTAATTTTTCACTTAAAAATTTTCCTTTTAAATTAACTATTATTTTATTTTATTTTCAAAAAATAAAAATTAAATTTAACTTGTTTCACATTAATTCTAAAATGTCTCAATATTAATAACTCTTTAATAAATATCTAAAGAAATATCATTAATAGGAAGTTTATTTACATATTTTTCAAAAAAGCATATTTAAGGAGACCAAATAGCTTTAATGATAGCTTTTATAATAAAATATAAAATAATAAATTAAGCAAACAAACAAAAAATAATACTATTATATATTCCCTTTGATTAAATAAATCTTTATAGATAACCTTCTTTATCATAACTTTTACTATTCATAAATTATTCTATATATTTTATTTTTACAAAGAAAACAACATAATAAAATTACAAAAAGATTTTTAATTAAAAAACTCAAATTTATAATCTTAAGTTTTCACGTGATTTATTGATATAAAAAATGCTACTATATTACATTCTGGTGTTTTATTTAAAAAACATTCTTATATAGCTTCTACTGTTAAATTATTTTTCATTTTTTTCTTTACTTAACCATTTGAATCTGTAAAATACCATATTACTGGTTATCCAAATTTATAATAAATTGTGTCTGGTATATTAACAAAAGGTTATTTTATTTTAGAAGATGTATGTGTTTCTTCATTTTATAAATAATTAAATAAATTAAAAGCTATTCCTCTTTCATCTAATTATGTTTTTTTATTTTATTTTTTCATTTTTATTTATAAAACTTTTTTTTTTTTTTTTTTTTTTTAAAAAATAATAATAATAATAGTATTTTTATTGAATGTTGGGTTTTTTTTTTTTTTTTTTTAAATAAAAATAAATATAAAAATTATTTATGTATGTATAGTTAAATTATATATATCTTTTATTTTTTATTTTTTATTTATAAAGTATTAATTATTTTTTAAAAAAATATATAATAAATTATTATTTATTTATATATAGTTAATGTAATTATTATATATTATTTTTATATTACATTATATGATATAATAATTTTAATTTTATCTATTAATTAATTATATTTTATAAATTACTTATTTAAATAAATATGTTAACTAAATATAAAGATTTAAATAAGTAAAATATAAAATATAAAAATTTATTTAATGTATAATTAAAAAAATGTTAGAAATATAAAAAATAAAATTGATTTTTATTTACAAAAAAATATAATAACTAAAATTGTTACAATTTTAGATTATATAATAAAATTATCTTTATATAATAATTTAATTTAATAAAATGAATATAAATTTATTTTTATTTTTTATATATACTAATATTATAATATATATATTTTTAAATACTGATTTTATATATTTAATTTATCTTTTATAAAAAAAAAATTTCAATAATCAAATTTTATTTTTTCCCTAATATTAAAATATGAATATAAATAATAAATTTAAAATTATCAAAAAAACTTAAAAAAAATTAGAGTATTATCATATATATGTATAATTTTTATATAATATTTATTTTTTAAACTTAAATAAGATGAATTATCCTTTTAAAAATATTTAAATTAATATTAAGAAAAATGTCTAAAAAAAAATATATATATATATATAAAAAAATATAAACTAACATAAAAGTAATAAAATTTTTTAAAAGATTTAAAATAATGAATAAAAAAATTATAAATATAATTAATATTTTTTAAAATTATTATAATTTACAGTGTTTTATATAATATACTTATATAATATTTCTTATATAAATAATAAATATATGAAGATAATATATATTATTATTTTTTTAATTTTTATATTTAAATTAAATTAATAATATTAAATTTAAAAATTATTTTTATATTAAAATTAAAAAAAAAATAAACATCATAAACATTAAATATGGGTATTAAAAATTGTATATAAAAGCCAAAAACAGCCACTAACCCTTAGAATGAATAAATAATAAGCAAAGTGTAAAAAAAACATTTAAAAGTTAAAATTAATATTATTTAAAGTAATTAGGATTCGCTTATTAAACCAATAAATATAAAAACAAGTTTAAGAAAAAATACTTCATCAAAATTAATAGATGAAACAAGTAAAATCTAATCAAGAATTTGTAAAAATAAAAATATAAAATCAACATAAGAAGATGATATAGAAAATTATTAATAGAAATAAAATTTAGTTGAAAATAAAATAACCTATAATTTTATTGAAAATAATCCAAATAATTAATATTTTAGTAAACCCTTAAAAACTTTAAGCATTGATATTCGTTAAAATAATCATGAAGATTTTTCACGTAAAAACGAAGATTTTAATTTTTATTTAAAAGAACAAGAAAGCCTAGAAGAAGAATTAAATTAACGAAATTGTATTTTAGAAATATTAGAAAACGATAAAGAAAGCGAAGAAGAGTAAAATGAAGAAAATATCAAATAAAATTAAGAAGTGAAAAAAAAAGAAATAATATTTAAATAAATTAGTTAATAAAATAGCCTTCAAACTATTTTAAATCCTCTATATTTCAAATCTAAATATAAAAAAAATGAAGAAAGAGTTGTTTAAGGATAAGACTTAATAGATGGAAAATTAATAGCTATAAAAACAGTATGTATAATTAATTTATTTTTCTTAGAAAAAAAATCAACACAATTATTTTTTTTTTTAAGTATTAATAAGATGAAATTAAAAAATTAGAATTAAATATTAATTAAGTTTAATAAATTTTACTTTTATAAGAAGATTATTAATGTTTTTGCTTTTATAAAAATATAGTTAAAAATGAAGAAAGTGGTAAATAAATTTTATTATATATTAATTTGTTTTTATAATTTTTTTATTATTTTTTTTTTAGTTTATTTTTTTTAAAAAAAAAAAACCAAAAAAAAATAAATAAATTTTGGACAATTTATATAGGCAAAGTAAAATCGGAATATGGCCTTTTTTTATTTAATTATTTTTTTATAAAAAGCTAAAAAAATAATATATATATATAAATATATATATATATATATATATATATATATTATTTCTTTATAATTATAATATATTATTTATATATATTTTCTATATCTATTAATATTTTAAAGGTATTGATATTTTATAAGAATTAGTACCTGGAGGTTCTATCGGATTTTTACTTGAATCTTTTCATAAATTTGAAATTAAGCTAGCAATATATTTTTTAAAATAAATCATTTAAGCATTATATATTTTGCATTCAAATAAAATTGTACATGGGTAAAAATATAATTTATTATATATATATTATTAAAAAATTTAATATTTTTATATTATTAGAAATTTAAAACCTAATAATATTTTAGTTGATAATTATGGATATATTAAATTAACAGATATCAATATATTCAAAAATATAAATTATTTAAAAAGTTATTGGAGTGCTCCTGAAGTAATTATTATTTTAAAATATATATATTATAATAATGAAAAAAATAAGCTTTTAAATGAAGATAAACTATTATTTTCTTCTGATATTTGGAGTGCAGGAATAATATTTTTATAAGTAAAAAATATATTTATATAAAATAAAAATAAAAAAATATATATATAAAGATGATAAATGGATATCATCCATGGTAATAAGGAAAGGATTTTTTAACAATTGAAACAATAAAGAAGAAATTTTAAAATAAAGTCCCTTTTTATTTACCTAAAAATATAAGTAATGAAATGGCATTGTTTATAAATTTTATGATTTCTAAAAATCCAGATAGTAGATTATCTGCATACGAATTATTAAAATAAAGCTTCTTAAATGAAGGTTAATATATAAAATTATATATAAAAAAATAATATATATATATATAATTTATATATTTATATATTTATATATTTATATATTTATATTTATATTAGAATTTTCTAGAAATGATAATTATTAAAATTTAAACTTGTTATAAAATAATAATAACAATATATCTAAATTTGATTTAAAAGAAGATTCATAAATTAAGCTATAAAGATAATAATCTAATGAAATATAAAACTTAACAGACAGTAATAAAATTGAATTATCATTGGAAGCCAAATTTAAACATAATAATTTAAAAAATAGTAAAAGTATAAGTAAAAAATAAATATAATATATATATATATATATATTTATATATATTATTAGACTTAGAAGATTAATAGTAATAAGATACACAATAATAATAATAAAAACTTTAGAAAAAGCTTTATCTAAAAATAATTTTTATACTAAAATCCCTAAAGAGTCGACCAGTAAATTATGTATTAGTGTAATTAGTTAATATTCAATAGTTTAATTAAAAACATTTCTTGCGCAAGATTCTTAAATAAGTGAAAAGCCTTTATCTTTTAAAAACTTTCAATTTTTATTGAGTCAATCTACACAATAAAATTACTTAAAAGAAATAAAAGATAAAGAAAATAGTTAATATTACAAATTAAAAATATAATAATAAAACGAAGAATAGAAAAAAATTAATAATGAATTAAATGAAAAGGTTAAATGGAAAGATACTGTTATAGAAGAAGTAAAAAAATAAATAAATAAATAAAAAAAAAAGATAGATAGGAATGGGTAGTCCTAAAAATAATTAATAAAGTGAACACGAAAATTAAATAAAATAAACTAAAATTTAATAATTAGAATTACAATTATAATAAATTTTATAAAAGGAATATTCGAGTTGTAATTCAGAAGATAATAATTAATCTTAAAATTCTTCAAGTTAGTTAAAGATTTCTAAATCTTAATTGATTTATGATGATATTAAATAATTAAATTTAAATAAAAACGAGTAAAACGATGGAGATTTGTAAAAATAAATAAGCTTTGTAAGTTAAGAAAGCAATTTTTATGGAATTAAAAAGTCCGATTCACTTGTTGATTATAATGATGATAATTTAAATAATTAATAAATTGTTAATAAATCTAAATAATTAAATAATTTTGAATTATAAATGAAAAACATTATTGATTAAAGTGTATAAAGCAATAGTTCTTAATGAATATATATATATATATTTTAAAGCAATGTATTATATATAAAGTATAATAAAAATATGTATTTATATATATATTAAAAAAAAAAGTTTTCCTTTAAAAATAATATATATTAATTGTATTATTTTTCTTATATATTACCCAAAAAACATTATTTAAAAATTTAATTAATTTTTGTTTTATTTTATTTAAATAAATAATAAAAAAACAATAATATTTTTTTTTTTTTAATTTTTAAAAAAAAAAAAAAAAAATTATTTTATCAATTAATTATTGTTAAAATTTTTTTTTTTTTTTTTTTTTTTTTTTCAAATAATAAAATATAAAAAAATGCTTTTATAAAATAAAGAAAATATATCTCCAAATATTTAAATAAACAAAGAACATTAATTATTAAATTCTTAATAATAAGATATGAATTAGAAAATAAAAAATTCACTAAATGAAGCAAATAAATCACTAGAAAATTACCGAAATAAAAGTAATGAAATATTAAATAAATAAAAGGCTTTAAATGATAAACTAAACATATAAAAAAAACAAATAAATTAAACTATTTCAAAATTTACAACAAATTGTAATGATATTTATCAACAAACTGAATAAATTTAAATATAATTTAATAATTTAAATGAAAAATAAAACCAAGTAATTTAAGGAAGTCATAATAATATAGCAGAACTAGTCATTTAATTATTAAAATGCAAAGATTTAAACGAAATAATAAATTAATTTTCCAATTAAATAAACAAAAAATAAGAAGTATTAGATGAATTAACAGATGGAAAAAATTAATTGATTAATATTATTAGTTAAAAGTTAAAAAATGAAGAAAAAATGAAAAAAGAAATAATCTTCTTAGCATTAGAAAATCAATAATTGAAAATTCAATTATAATAAAAATAAAAACATATAAATTTTTTAGAATTGGAATTAAAAGATAAATAAAATATATGCAATAATAATAGTTTTTAAGGTATTTTATAAATATTATTCATTATATCAGTATATTATTTAATTTTGGTATATAGAAAAAGAAATATAAAATAAATAAAATGATTAATAATATAATGAAGAAAACTAAGAATAATTAATTAATCGAATAAATTAAGTATGTAAAAAAGATTAAGAAATTTAATAAATAAATAAAATGATTAATAATATAATGAAGAAAACTAAGAATAATTAATTAATCGAATAAATTAAGTATGTAAAAAAGATTAAGAAATTTAATTAAATTAAGCATTTAATGAATTAAATATAATTTCATAATAAAAATAAACACTTTCTTAAATTAAGTTTACAAACAATAATAAAACACCAAAAGAAAAACTTCATAAAAAAAATAAAACACGAGTAAAAAAATATAATTATGATATTAATAATAATAGTTTTGTATAATAAAAATAATGTAAAATAAAATAATAATAAAAGTAAATATAGTAATTATAATAATAATAATAAAAATAATAATAATAATAATAATAATAATAATAATAATAATAATAATAATAATAAAAATAATTAATTTTAAATTAAAAAAATATTAACCTTACATTTTCTAATGATAAATCATAATCTAAATCTCCTAATTTTTTAAGAAACATTAATTCATTTTTTCATCATAATTCTTCCCCTTTAAGAAATTGTAATTGAAATATGAAAATTTGTTTTTAAATAAAATATATTTAATAAAAAAATATTTATTTATTATAAATACTAAAATAAATAAATATTAAATTTAAATATCTCTTTTTTTATATCTTTTATTTTATAATATAATATTCTATAAACTTAAAAACAAGCTTTTATAACTTTATAATTTCTTCATTTATTTAAAATAAATATTATTTTTTTATAATAATTATTAATTTTAATTTATTTATTTTTAATTTTTATATTAAATCTAAAATAAAACTTCTCATTTATTATGTCATTAATAATTTATCTATTATATTTTTAAATTTTCTTTATATTTATTAACTTTTTTCTATAAACTAAATAGATTTTAAATTAATTTATTTTATTATTAGTACATATTATATATATATATATATTTATTATACATCCTATTTTATTTATAAAATTATATATTTATATCTTTTTAAAAATTTATTATATAATTTATTAAAATATTAATGTTCATCTAATATATACTTTAATTATTTATTTTATTTTTTAATAATTTTTTTTTACAAATATATTAAATATTATGAATTATTAAATTAAAAATATATTTTATATTGTATATTTTTATTATATTTATTAAAAATATTATTATATTTATTTTTATATACAAATTTATTTTAATTTACCCATAAATAAAAGTCTAATTATATATTTATAGATTATTTCTATTAATTATTGACAAAAAATAAAATTAAAAATAATGAATAATGCTTTTTATTAACCTTTAGGATAAGAAAATTAAAGATTAGAAAAATGTGTAATTGAAAAGTTTTATGAATTAAAAAAACCTTAATAATTAGCAGAAATTGCATTTGATAAAAAAGAATGTAAATCATTTTTTAGATGGAGAAAATATTCAAATTCACGTTTTTCATATATTTTTAGAATATAATAAGAAACTAAAGAAGAAAAACAACATAAAAAATAATAAAAAGATGCATAATTAGAATCTTAAAAATAATAATTTTCTCATGTAAATTTTTTTGTTTTTTTTTTTGTTTTTTGTTTTTTTTTGCTTTTTTTTGCTTTTTTTGTTTTTTTATTTAAATTTCAAAATAAAGATTATTTAATAACATAAAAATAATGTATAATCAATAAATAAAAAATTTAGGAAAATTCTTTAAAATATTTTAATGAGAAAATTAATAGATTAAAGTTAAAGAAAATAAGTAATAACCATATTTATCTTAAATAATTATATATATATATATATAAAAAAAGTGCTGGCTTATTTCTTCTAACACTATATATTCTATTGAATAATATAAAAATTATTATAATGATTTATTGAATTTAAAAAAATATCCTGATTATCATAAAGATGCTATTTAAAAAGTTAATAAAATAATAATATACATTTAATCATTTTTAAGAAAAAATATTATATGTTTATAGGATGTTTTAAGAACATTTATGTAAAATAGCGAATAACTTAACTATATATAATTAGAAAAAATATTATTATGTTACTAAAGAAGAAACCCAATAATAGGATATAGTTAAGGAATGAATTATATAGTATAATTTTTATTAGAATAAGGTTTTTGTGAAGAAGTAAATATTTAAACATAAATATTTTAATAAAATTTAAAGGAAACATTTTGGATTTTCACATATATAATAGAAAATATACTTCCTATAGATTATTTTCCTAATTTTATGTTAGGATTATTATGTGATCTTAAAATATTTAATGATCTATTAAAGCAATTTAACTTTAAAGTTTGGAAAAAATTTGACGAGTAAAAGATAGATACTGGAATAATATTTACACATTGGGTTTTATGTCTTTTTTGTACATTAGTTTAAAATAATATTCTATTATTAATTTGGGACCATTTATTATCGAAAGGATCGATTGTTTTATTTAAAGTTTCTTTGATATTTTTTAATATATTTTAAGATGATATATTATAGTCTAATGGATGTAAAAATATAAATATATAAATATATAAATATATATAAATAATATATATCTAAATATATATTTATATATATATATTTTTTTATGTATATATTATTTTGATAAAATTAATTTTTTTTTTAATTAGTTCAAGTAATAAATTTAATATAAATGAAGGTTTTAGAATTTAATGATGTTACAGGATTAAATAACTAATTAAATAGATTATATATAAGTAAAAAAGCAGTTAATGTATTAAGGGATTTATATAGATAAGTTTATTATCTAGAATTAGATAAATAAAAAGATAATATTAAATATAAATAAAGAATAGAAAATTTTCATAAAAGAAGAAAATATATACAATGTGATATATAATGGCCAATTTGTCATCATTATTTAGAGAAATTAAAAGTTTAAAAAGAATAAGAATAAAATTATTTCATTCTTTAATAAAAATAAAATCTTGATAATTTCAACTGGAATCATTTTTCTTTTTAATTAAATAAATAATAATAATAATAATAAATAATAATAATAATAATAATAATAATAATAATAATAATAATGATAATATAAATAATTTATAAGAAATATTAATTATTGAATGTATTTATATATATGTATATATATAATAAATTTATATATATATATTTATATTTATAAATATATAATTTTTTTAAATATTTATATTTATATATTATTATAAAAATAATTAAAAAAATTAGAATAATAATAGAAAATTAGCTTTTAAGAATAATAATATGATTAATTAAATAAAATTGACTATATTTTTATTATTAGGACTTAACATATTTGTAATTTATAAAATGAATTATCTTTTGATAATATTTTAACTGATGAATATTAATATGAACCATAAAATAATTAATTATTTTCTGATATAAAATAAAATTAATAATAAAATTATGATAAGGAAAAATTAATGTCTGAAAATCATTCCCAAATATAATCTATTTAATTTATTAATGCTATTTCTTCCTAAAGGGGTGGTGTTTTTTAAGAATTAATGTCAAGAGATGTATCTTATAGTAGTTAATTAATAGAATTTATTTGAATAATTATTTATATATATATTTATATATATAATTATTATTGTATTTATTTTACACATTTTTTAATATTTTTATTTATTTATCTAGCGTTTAATTTTTTAAATTAGCAGTTAATAAATTAAAAAATATAAATTTAAAATTTGAAAAATTTTAATATTCTTAAAAAAAAATAATTAAATTTATTTTAAAAAAAAAAAAATAAAAAAAAAAAAAACATAAAAAAAAAAACAATTTAAAAAGTACTGAAAAGGGAAAAAATAATTACAAGTATATATAAATATTTTCAAATATTAAAAAATAAATAAAAAAAAGGTAAAAAAAAATTAATTTTTTCTTTTCTTTTCTAATTTTTTTTTAAAAAAAAAAAAAAAAAAAAAAAAAAAAATTAAATCCAAAATTTTTTATTTTTAATCAATCATTTAAAATTTCTCCAAATAATAGTAGGATTATTCCAAAATTCATTTAATATATCTTCAAAATATTTTTACACATCATCTTTTATTACATTATTTTCTGCAAAATTAAACCAAATTTCAAGTCTTATACTGCTTTTTTTAACATTACCTTTATCACTAAACCTAAAACCATTAGTCTATATATATATATATATGTATAAATAAATATAAATATATATATACATATGTATATTATAAATTTATTTTTTATAATTAATAAAAATAAAAACTTATTCGTAAAACTTAAATTCATCACTTAATACTGTTGTTAATATTTTAAAAAATATATTATCAATTAAATCTTAGTTTATATCCACAAATTTGCATTAAATCATACATCCATTTTTATTTTCTTCATGTTCCCATAAAGGTTATATATGTTCTTTAAAAATAGATATGCCTTCAACTATTCTAAAATCTGTATTATTATCATTTTTAAATTAAAATCTATTTATTATTTAAAAAAATTTAATATACTTTTTTTGTTTTTGCTTTTTTTTAATATTTACGATTTTAGCTTTTTAAATGTAAAAAATTATGAAATATTCTTTATTAATGTTTTTTAATATATTAAACTTAATTCTTTTAAATTTTAGAAGTTCAAAACTTATTAATTATTACTTAAAAATGTATTCTAATCTTATTTTTAATTATTTCCTTCATTTTTAAAACATATCCATATACTCCATGTATTTTTAAATTAAACTTCCGATGAGTCTATTTAATTATATTTATCAAATTCATTTTTTTGATTGGAAATTTTATATTCTTCTTAATCCATTTTTAAAATTGATTTATTTATGTTTTTTTTTTTATTTTATTTTATTTTTTTCTTATATATTTATTATTATTTTTTTAATTTTTTTTTATTTTTGAAAAAATAAAACAATAAAATTATATTTACAATTTTTTTTTTTAGATATAATAATGTATTATTATTATTTTTTAATGTTTTTTTTTTTATTATTCGAATAATTTTTTTATTATTATTATTATTATTATTTTGTTAAGAATAGAGTTTTAAAAAAAATAATATTTTTTTTTTTTTTTTAATTAAAAATTTATAATTGAATTATTTTAATAATAAAAAAAAAAAAAATATTTTTTATATTTTTATAATAAAAAAAATACTAAAAATACTATAATTATTATATTAAAATAAAATTGAAAAAAATATATTAAACTACAAAATTTTCAATAATAAAAAATTACTATTAAATAAAAATAAATATATTTAGAGAAAAAAAAAAAAAAAAGAAATAACAATTTATTTTATATAAAAATTAAAAAAAAAAAATATCAATATTTCTATCTAACAGTTGTATATTACCTAATATTACTCCTATTCGTTTTCTATAGTATAATGTAATTTTCACTAGCTTATTTCTATTATCCTATACTACTTTATTTCAAACTACTAGAAATATCTATTTAACCTCTAGGTGTCCCGATTCCACTTTTCAAAGATGCTCTATTTTTATTAATTAAATAATCATCTTATTATACATTATTTGATTATTAATAAAATCTTATTTTGCAATTTAAATTAACAATTTTTTTCTCGAATTAATTTTTTAGATTTTTAATTTCTTCCTAAAATTAATTTCTTAAATTTTCTTCTTTTTTAAAAGATATGTATTTTCTAATTATAATTTCTCATTTAAAATTTTTTCAAAAAATACTTTTTTTTCTTCCTCTTTTTCTTGCTTTTTTTCCTCGATTTTATAAGCTTATTAGTAATATTTATTTTTTCTTATTCGATATTTAACTCTTATTATATATTTTTTATTTTACTTTCTAATTTCTCATTCTCTTCTTTTAAATTTTATATACTTATGCTTTTTTAAATATTTTCCTTCATTTTTTACATCAAATTTTCACGTTTCTTTAATTCTTCAATAGCAACTTCATATGTCAAAGGAATTTAAAGGCTCATCTTTTCAATCTCCTTTATTATTTCTTCGTTTTTTATACAGTTTAATTAACTTTTCTTTGAAACTAATTGAATAGATGAAAATAAACTAGAAGATTCTTTTTGTTTTTCTTTTAAAAATTAAGTCTCGAGTTCTATATCTTCTATTTTTTTACGGATTTCATTATAGTTTTAACATGTTTTCTCTATTACTTCTTCTAAGTTTTTTATTTGTTCTTTATACATATCATTTTACGCTTTATATATGTCTTTTGTACCTGAATCTATTGCATTTTTACATTCTAATGTACTAATAATCCTAACTAAATTTTAGTTTATTTAGAAAGAACTTTTTATTTGTTATTTTAATTTTTTTTTTGTTTTTTTTTTTAAAAAAAAAAATATAAATATTTCATACTCATAAAGCTGTTTTTTTAAGAAAAAATAAAAACTTTTATTAAATTCGTAATTTTTATCAGAATTTTTTTCTTTGTTTTTTTCTAATTTTTTTTATTAATTTTTTTCTTTATTTTTTAATAAGTTTTATTATATATAATTTTCTTAGTGTTTTTCATTATTTTTTTCTTAAATTTTATTTTAATTTTTTTCTTAATTTTATATAAGATTTTCTTAAAAATTAATTTATTTTTATATTTCTTATGATATATTAAAATTTTACTCTGAATTATTAATATTATTGCATATTTATTAAAGATAGTCATCAAAATATATTTAAGTAAAAACAAATTATTTTTCCTATATCATTTTTTCAAATAATTCGAAATCTTTATATATAATATAATAATATATATATATAAATATATAAAATTAAAATAAAAAAAAATATATATAAAAAATATAATAATTTAAATAAATATATATATATATATAAATATTATAAATAAATTAGTTAAAATATTTATAATTTTTTTATAAATATTTTTACATTTATAAATAATAATTAATAAATATTTAAAAATAATTAATGATATTTTTTATATTTTTTAATATATATAAATATAATTAATTATTTAAATCTTTTATATATAATAAAAAATTAATTTTGTAATTATTATTATTTATTAACTTATATAAAATATATTTATATAAAATCAAATATAAATATTTACTTTAATTTTACTATTCTTTTGTCATTTATTTAATAATTTTTTCTTATTTATTTACTAATTATATTAACGAATATACTTATTTTTACAAAATCTCATTTTCAAACTACGAATAATCATTTTTTATATTAACCTAATTAAACTTATTAATTAAATTTTTATTTTCATCTTTCAAACTTACAAATTAATCTTCCATTTTTAAATTTTCTTTTTTTAATTCAATAATAACTTAATCTTGATTTCCATTACTTTATTCTTCTTCTTCTTCTTCCTCTTCTTCTTACTCTCCCTCTACCTCTCCTTATTTTCCTTTTAACAATAATCCATCAAAAAGCGCTTCATTTTTTTCGAAAACAATTTCATCATCTTAATATTTATCTTTTATTTTTCCTAAAACAAGTTCTAATTATTAATTAATCTACATCTATTTAAAAAGTTTCTCTTATAACTCCTAAATTTGGCTCTTCATTTATTCCAATGACAAAACCACATTAACTTTTACATTATTCTTGATATTTTTAGCCCTAGTAGCGAATTTTAGAGTCGTAATTTATTCCTCATGTTAACTTGAATGTGGTGAAATAGCAGCTATAATTGAAGTCTTATAATTTCCTCCTAAACTCTCTTATAATATTCTTGTTAATTTAGAATCTCTATAAGGAATATGATTACTATTATTAGTTAAAGAATTAATAACATTACCCAAACAACTTAAAGAAAGATTTATTTTTTTCGCCTCTTCCAAAATTTCTCCACTGGCATTAGTTTTTGATATTTTTTCGCTTCCAGCAAGATCAACGAGATTTAATTTTCCACATTTAATTTAAAAAAAATCTCCTAATTTTTATTTCTGTTCTATGTTTATTGCAAATATAGTATGAGAACGCGAAGAGTATTCATTCATCTTTGTTTCTCGAGTTTATTTACTTGAATATCCAATATCTAAAAGATTTAAAATATCATTTTCTGTATTTACTTTTTTATTAGAAAGACCTTATACGTATATTCCTTATCCTTTTATGCATATATATATATATATATATATATTTATATATATATATATATTTATACATATATTATTTTATATTATTTAATTTTAAATAAAATAAAATACCTGTACTTTGTTTTATTTTTAATTTCCCTTTAGGATTCAATAAATCAAATAATTATTCTTTATATATTTCTAATATAGAGCATGTAATATTAAATTCATTTTCGCTTTATAAAACACTGTTGAAAATTTAGCTATTAACCCTTGGAATTATTCCCTTTTCCTCATCTATATTTATATTTCCGAACATAGTATAAGTTTTACCTGATCCAGTAGCTCCATATGCAAAAATAGTTCCATTGTACCCTTAAAGTACTTCTTATAGCATTTCTTATCCTATTTCTTGATATATTTATTCCTAAAAAAAATATATATATAATTCCATATATTTATTATTAATAAACTAAACTTATTTAGTTTCTGGCTAAAAAATTTTATCTAAAGTAAAAGCTTAATTTTCTGGTAAAATTTAAATAGTTTTTGAATCTATATACTTAATATTTGCATATCCAATATTATTTTATTCTAATTCATTTTCCATTTTATTAAAAGGACGAATTCTTACAAAAGTTTTTATGTTACTTTATTTTTATTTCTAAAAACTAGAATTAATCTATTCCAAATTTTTCTCATAACTCTCGTTATTATGTTTACTGAAATTTTGACTAATTGTCAAATTAATATTATTATTTTATTTATTTTAAAATTATGAAGTATTTCTTTATCTTTATGCACTTGCATTATTTAAATTTATAAAATTTCGATTTTATTATTATTATTATTAATTACTCGGAGTATTTGAACCATCATTATATTATATATTTTAAGAAATTTAATTAAATGAACTAATTGTCTTAATTTGGTCAAATGAAGTAGCTCGACACTCTAATATAAAAGGTTATATTAAAGGTTTGACTTTGAATATATGTGATGCTTTTCTTTTCTTTTTTTTTTTAGAATTTTTTTTTTTATTTACATTGGAAGAGATAATGGAGTAAATTTTTTAGGGGATTAATTTTTAAGGTTAAAAATATTTGATTTTTTAACTATTTTATTAAATATATATATATATATATATATATATATATATATATATATATATATATATATATATATATAAATATATTATTCTTTATTTTTTTTTTTTACAATCTGGAGTTACTTTCATATTTTATTTCATAAAATTTTATATATATTTGTTAATATTTTTTTAAATTTTATTATTTTTATTTATTGTTTTTTAGTAAATATTATTAAATTTCTAATAAAATTTAATATTAAAAAAAATAAATATTAAATAAGTAAAAAGCAAAAAAAAAGAATAAGTAAAATATATAAATATAATTATATTTATATATATATATATATATATATAATTATATATATTTATATATATATATTTTTTTTTATTTATTTATTTTTATATATTTAATTTTATGTTTTTATTTTATTTTTTAATAGATTTTTATATAATATAAATTATAATTATAAAAAAATGTTTTTATTATAATAAAATTAAAATTACAAATATATATTTTAATAACTATTTGTTTATTTAAAATACTTATAAAAATGTATATTTTCAATAAAATTTATCATATAATTTTTTTTTTTATATTTAATAATTTTTTTTTAAAAAAAAATAAAAATAGTAATATATAAATATATTTACAATTCAAAGATTATAATTTTTTCTATTTAAATTTTTTTTTAATGTATATATTTGTTTTATATTTATAAATTTAATAATAACATTATATTTTCAAATTAATAGATTATATTTTTTATAATATTATATAATAATTTTATTAATTATTCTTTTCTTTTATTATTTATTTTTATAAATTTCTTTAACTGATAAAAAGAATTATCATTAAATTTTTAAAATTTTTTGTTAAAAATTATTTTTTTCATCAAATATTATGTTTGTTATTTTATTTTATTTTTTCTGTAACTTTTCTTAAATACAATTCAATAATTTTTTCAAAATAATTTATTTTTTCGTTATTTGTTGTATTTTTTTTAGTATAAATTTTACTTAATCTTTGCATAATTTTAATTATTAGTATTTATTTTACTTTTTTAATGCTTCTATTTCTTTTTTTTACTGAATTAAAAGTTTTTTATTATTTATTGCTTTTTATTCATATTAATTTCGAAAAAAGTTAGACTAAGTGATTTATTTATAATTTTTGATTAAAATTAGATTAATATATATTTATTTTATATATAAGTTTTTTTTTTATAACTATTTTTTTTAAAAAAAATACAATAGATATTTTTATTTTCAAATTAATTATTATTATATATATATTTTTTTTTCTTATGTTTTATTTTGAAAAAAAAATATATAATATAATATAATATAATCATATCCAATCTTTTGCATTTAAAATTATCTTTTACATTTCTTCTTCTTTACTTCCTTCTTTAATTTAAAACATATATTCCCAACAAGCTAAATGAGGTAGACTCATTAAAATACTTTCGATTCTCGCATCTGGTGTATAAAGTCCAAATTTAGTACCTCTGTCATAAACAAGATTAAATTCTACGTATCTTCCCCTTCTAATTTACTTCCATTTCATATTTTCTTCATTGAACTCTTTATCTTTATTATTTTCAATGATTTTTATATAAGAATCTAAAGTAACTTTTCCGCATCTTTTTGAAAAATCAAATGTTTTTTCCCAATTATTATCTAATATGAAGTCGTCATAAAAAATTCCACCAATACCCCTATATTCTTACCTAAATTAAATGTAAAAATAATCATCGCATTATTTCTTTAATTTCTTATATAACTATTCATCATTAATAGCCTAATAAAATCCTTAATGGAATAAAACAAAATCTTCTTCATTAACATAATGAGGAGTTAAATCACTTCCACCACCAAACCAAAAATCAGCAGTAATATCTATTAATATTAATATTTATATAAATTAAAAAAGGAATACAGATATATATATATATATATATATATATATATATATATATATATATATATATATCTATTTATATATATATTATCTATATTTTTTTATATTTTTTTTTTTCTTTTGTTTATATTTATATTTAATTTTTGTATTTACTTGATTCACGATCATATAATTCCATCCAACGATAATTAGCATGTATTGTTGGAATAAATGGATTTTATGGATGTATTACTAATGATATTCCATTAGCATATATATTGTATCTTTGTATTTCTTCATCTGTATAATTTTTACCTAATTTTACAAGAAATAATTATATATAAAAAAACATTAAATAATATATATTAATACCCCTTTATTTCATATTATTAGCTATATTTTTATTAAAAGGAAAAATTACTTTTGATGTATTTATTCCTGCTTTTTCAAAAAAATCACCATTCTTATTTAATAATATATATTTTATTATATACACATTATATTTTTACTTATAATACACAAGTTTTTCCTCCTCCAAATCCATATTATCTCTGCCATTCATCAATAATGAATTTTTAATTATTTTCATATTTTTGTATTGATTCTACAAATTAATTTTGTAATTCTAAAATAAATTATTCAAATCTTTATCTCCTTTCATAAAATAATGTTATTATTATTATTTAATATATTTAATATATTTACTAAAATCTATTCTTATTTCAATGTATGCTTAGCCTATTATATATTAAAAAAAGAGTATTTTATAAGTTTTTTATTTAAAATATATATACATTAATGCTTTTAAAAAAAATAGTTTTATAAATTAGCTTAAAAATAATAGATATCATTTTTAAAATAAAATAAAATAAAATATTTATTTATATATTATTTTTTATATATTTTTTTTTTTATTAAATAAAAAAAAAATATAATAAAATAAAAAAATATACATAATATATATAATAATATTATTTATTTTAATAATGACTTTGATTATTTTATTTTATTCTATTTATCTATATTAATATATTATTAGTTTTATAATATTTTTCTTTTTCTATTTATTGTTTTAAAATATAACTTTATTATTAAAAAATAAAAATATTCATTTATTTTAAATATAATTTTAATATTTAAAATAATATATCAATAATTATTTATTTTTAAAAATAATTATTTTAAATTTTATACATTCAATCTATTATATAAAAATTTTAATCTTTTAATTTATTTAAAAATAATTAAAAAATTATATATAAATTTAATTAATTAATTTAAATTAAAAAAATAAATAGATTTTTAAATTTAATATCTTTTATTAATAATAATGTATTAATTAATATTAATATTAATTTTTTTATAATTTTATGTCTATTACAAATACTCAATTCTTAAAATAAACACTTTTTTAATAATTTTTAATGTCACACTTTCGTGAAAAGATACTAATTATTTTGGTTTAAGGAATAAAAATTACTTATTTATGTCCTTTAAAAATTGTTTTTAGATGATTTAAATAATGTGGAAATATATGTATTATATACAGTACCTACATTCGTAGGTTTTAAAGTTAAAAATCTGTAAGATAAATAAATTCTTTAAATAAACGGATGCATTGATTTTGATTAACATCTATCTTATTTTTTCTATTTTTATAAAAATTCAGATGATTATAATAAAGAAATTTAAAATGCCTAATATATTAATAGGCATTTATTGCCTGATTTCTCACTAAAGAAATATTGCAATTGTTTTAGCTTTTGGTGTTTCCTTAATTATGGGAGTAATATAAGATTCAAGAGGAGGAATAAGAAAAATAACCTAATAAATTGCAGATCATATAATGTATAAGGTTCTTAGAACCTATAATAGCAATAATTAGAATAATAATAAAGGTAAACGTAATAAACAATAAAATCTAATTAATTAGTAAAAATAAATAAACAACTTATTAAAAGATAAATATATCAATTTTAATAAAAAGAAGATAAAGAAATAATGCCATTAGATAATATAGAAGATTTTATTAAAATTAAGATTAATAGATTATCTTCATAAAAATAAGTTAAAGTTTGCATATAAAAAACTAACTATAAAAATGTTATATAACCTCTAAACGATTAGATTAAACTTTAAGATGCAGAAAATTATTTGGCTAAAAAATAAATTAAGTATAAATTAAAAGAAAAAAACATTAAGTTAGTTTGAATCGATTATAAAGTCAATAAAGCAAATTAGATAAAAATATAATCATCAACCAAAACTAAGAAGATAATTTAAAGGATTGTGACACATAAGAGTAAAAAGAAGAACAAAATAATGATAAACCTAAGCAATAATTATATAAAGATGAATTCCAAGTAAATAGCAAATAAAATTACTTTTTATTTTAAAGAAATAATAAAATTTATAATGAAAATTAAGTAAATGAACTTAATATCTTTAAAATAGAAGTATATTTATTTCAGTTATAAGTTTACATGAATTAATCTAAATATTTATTTTTTTTAATTAATTTTAAGTAGAACATTTAGAAAACTTTATATATATAAATATGTAATACTTATTACTACTAATTCTATTATATTTAATGATCTAAAGTTTTTCTAAAAAATACTTGTAAATCTAGTATTATTATTAACTATTAATTAATTCATTATTTTGATATAAAGTGTCTATAAATTTAATAATAAAATATTTAAATGTTTGACTTGCTTGTTTTTCTTTGCTATAGTCACAATATGTTTTTACTATGTTTCTAGAAAAATTCGAAAATTAATATAATAATTGGTTATATATTTTTTTAATAGTAATATTTTTATATTTCATATTGTTAATACATTTATTAAATATAAGTTAATACATATATTAATTTAAAGAGAATTTAAATAAAGATAGTCATGGATAAAAATAAGGATATTTAATATTTTTAATAAAGAAAATTATATAATGAAGAAAATATATTATTTGACGAATATAATAATTTTATCATTTTTGTATTTAATTAATATATAGAAAAATAAATTAATTTTATATATTAATAATTTTGTATTATTTTATTTAATATTTTTATTTTTAATTCATTATAAAAATAATAATATATTAATTAAAAATTTAATTAAATATATATATATAAATATGAATTAAAATAAAGAAAAATAATTAATTAATTTCATATAATATAATAATAATAATTATTTAAAAAAATATATATATAGATATAATTATATATAATATTTCTTTTAAATAATAAAATAAATTAATTAAATATATAAAAACAAAATTAATAAAAATATATTTAAATAAATATAAATAATTACAATATATATATATATATATTTATTTTTAAAAATATTTATATTAATTATATTAAATAACTAGAACCTATTATATTTTATAAAATAATATATATAAAAATATATTATATAATATAATTTATTTTATAATTTTTAATTTTTATTTTATATATATTTAAGTCTGTTTTTTTATGATTTTATTATATTCAACTATGTAAATATATTATTTTTATAATTTATTATTAATTTATTTTAATAAATTTTTTATTTTATTATAATACTAAAAAAATTTATATTTATTTTATTGTTTAATATTATTTTACATTTATATATTAATAATATTTTTTTTTTTAAGGAATTTTATAATTTTTATTCTTTTAATCTATAATAATATTTTTTATTTTATATTAATTATATTAATTATATAATATAGAAATTTAATTTTTAAATAAAAAAATATTTTTTAAAATAATAATATATAATTTATTATTAATATGTAAGTTAACTATATTATAAAATTTATTATAATCTTAAGTTTATTAACTATTATCAATTCTCAAAAAAAAACACTTATAAAATAATGTTTAATGTCAAATTTTTCGACTAGAGATGCTATTGATTGTGGTTTTAACACTGCTTATTCTCATGGATCAAGCTTAACTTATTTATGTGGTTCAAAAACTGTTATAGGAGGATTTAAATAATGTGGAAACTAATGTATTATATTATTTTATCATATATCATAAAACCTATATACGGTTTTTCAATCAGCTTTTATATATAATGATTGATTCTTGGAATACTGGTGTGGATTTTTTGACCGTTAAATTAAATGAAGTTTTTCTTACAAAATTATATAAAAATAAAGCTTCTACTAATACATGTGGAAGAGATTATCCTAATGAAGAATATTAATAAGCGAATATCGAATATAAATCAAATAGTAATAAAGTTAATATTTCAATTAGTAATGATTTTAATAGTGATACTAACTCTTATTTTAGATCTTTTGGTATTAGGGAATTTGTATTTTATGTTTATGAATGCATGCCTTAATGTGCTGGATGTACTAACGATACTTCTTGCAGTTCTTGTTATGAAGGCTATTATTTAAAAATAGATAATTGCTTAAATTGTATAAATTAATGCTAAAAATGTACAGATGGAATTTCTTGTAAATATTGTAAAAGGGGATATTTTTATAATGATTCTTTATGTGTTTCTTTATGCCCAAAAGGTAAATATCCAGATGATTATACAAGAACTTGTAAGGATTGTAATAATAAATGTGCAACTTGTTCTAATGCGACTGATTGTGATACATGTTTTGGTAATAGGGTTGCACCTGCTTGTGAATGCCCTGCTGATAATTATGATAGTTTCAATTATACATTATCTTGTATTGGATGCTCTACTATCGGATGCTCTATTTGTAATGCTACTACGTGCTAAGCATGTCTATCGCCTTATTTTTTAGATGTAAATTCATGTGTAAAAGTTTGTCCTCCTGGTAAATGGGGGAATACGGCAAATAGATAATGTACAGCTTGCTTAGCTAAATGTGCAACTTGTTCTAATGCGACTGATTGTGATACATGTTTTGGTAATAGGGTTGCACCTGCTTGTGAATGCCCTGCTGATAATTATGATAATTTCAATTATACATTATCTTGTATTGGATGCTCTACTATATCTATCGGATGCTCTATTTGTAATGCTACTACGTGCTAAGCATGTCTATCGCCTTATTTTTTAGATGTAAATTCATGTGTAAAAGTTTGCCCTCCTGGTAAATGGGGGAATACGGCAAATAGATAATGTACAGCTTGCTTAGCTAAATGTGTAACTTGTTCTAATGCGAATGATTGTGATACTTGTTTTGGAAACAGGATTGCACCTGCTTGTGAATGTCCTGCTTATAATTATGATAATTTAAATTATGCCTTATCTTGTATTGGATGCTCTACTATATCTATCGGATGCTCTATTTGTAATGCTACTACGTGCTAAGCATGTCTATCGCCTTATTTTTTAGATGTAAATTCATGTGTAAAAGTTTGTCCTCCTGGTAAATGGGGGAATACGGCAAATAGATAATGTACAGCTTGCTTAGCTAAATGTGAAACTTGTTCTAATGCGAATGATTGTGATACATGTTTTGAAAATAGAGTTCCTTAATAATGTAATTGTCCTCAATATTCTTATAATCCTAATGTTTTCAATTAAGCCTGTACAATGTGTTCTACTTTTTCAACTGGATGTACTACATGCAGTTCAATTGAATGTCTTACATGCGAAACTCCTTAATATTTTTAATTAAACTAAAATAAATAATGCGATTCATGTTTAACTATAATGGCTAAAATATATTTTAACGATGATTTATTATCTTTAATTATAGATTTTGGTTATTATTATAGTAATTTGTAAATTGATCTTGTTATCTCTAATTTAGATTTCTAAAGTTATTCTTCTTAATTATAATTTTCTAATTAAATTTGTATAGAGACATTGGATATAACCTTTATTAATTCCAAATTATAAGGAAATATTTTATGTTCTTTTGATAAATATTTAAAAACCCTTACAATTAAGCTTGATACTGTAAGTACTATTAATAAGGATGATGTAATAAAAATAAAACCTGGCTTATTTAAATTAATAAATAATGGATTTGTTTGTGCTGATTTTCTTTAATAAATAACTGGAAAAGTAATTTTAGACTCAAATCTAGTCATAAAATTAACTTAAACAAGTCCTATTTCCATATGTTAATAAACATAAATAATAATATCATGTATTTCTAATTGTGGAAATAGATAATTAAAATAAATTACTTGGTCACTTATTTCTTCTAATGTAAATACGCAAAATGAAATCGGTTAAATAAATTAGTTAATCTAATAATAAAATAATAAACTTATTTTGGATATACCGCCTTTATAATTAAAAAAAAATGGATAATACTAATTTTAAGTAGATGTGGTTTCCTAGTTTAATTAAGCAGCAACTGCTAATGCAATAATATAAACTTTATAAGACACATCTATAGACATAAGAGTAAAAACAAACCTGAACTAAATTTATAGAAGTAATTTAGTGAAAATCGATGTTTATTTTAATCTTTTGTAATGTGAAAATGATGGAAAAATATCTTATCATTAAGAAAATTAATATGAAGTATAAATAAAATAAAATGACAATTTAACTGAATTATTAAATATTGATTCCACATAATTTGTTTAAGGAACTTAATTTTAATTTGAAATTTAACCTTTTATTATGAAGGTAGATACGACATATAATATATAAATTACAGTTTCTTTAAAATCCGATCAAACAATTACTCAATAAATATTATACCCTTTATAAGTTCTATATCATTCTCCTTTGGTTACAATTTTAGGAGGAAATAGATAATAATAATATTTACAAAATTTTTATCTCGAAGGAAAAGTAGATGATCCTAATTTATCACCTAGTGAAAAAGATTCATAAAAGAAACTAATTATGGAATTAATTTAAATTGGTAATGTATAAATCTAAGTACAGGAGATAATTGTAGAGATTCATAAAATAATTTAATTATTTCTCCAATCACATAAAACTTATAAATCACCATATAAAATAAAATGTTATAGGCTTATTAATAATATATATTTAAACTATCAGGAACAAAAAACGGTATAACCGTTTTTGATTAAATAATAATATTAATGGTTGATTATGATGTTCCCCCTGTATATACTACTATTTCTATTAATAACTCTTAAAATAGAATAAATTTAAATTAAGAAATACTAACTTAGTTTGATTGTAAAGGGGATACAAATATTGATAACTTAATAATTACAGGAGTAATTTTATATTAGAATTAATAGAAGAATATAATATCAATAACTGGTAACTAATTTAGATTTCGTATTTGGGAATTATTTTTCGATTTTTTAGGAGAAAATTAAAATTAATTTGAATTAAAATTTTCAATTAAAAATATAAATTTTACAGTACCTACATTCATTTCTTATACTTTAAATGCTAACATACCTCCATAAGAATGTACTTTTGATTAAACTGCAGGTTTTAAAATTAAAAATCTTTAAGATAAATAAATTCTTTAAATAAGCGGATGCATTGATTTTGATTAACCTCTATCTTATTCTTTCTATTTTTATAAAAATTCAGATGATTATAATAAAGAAATTTAAAATGCCTAATATATTAATAGGCATTTATTGTCTGATTTCTCACTAACGAATAATATCGAAACAGTTTTACCTTATGGTGTTTCCTTAATTATGGGAGTAATATAAGATTCAAGAGGAGGAATAAGAAATATAACCTAATAAATTGCAGTAAGCCAATACGATGTTTAAGATAGTTCTTCGTATTATAAATTTATAAATAATTGGTTTGATTAAACTAAATAAAATCATTTAAATGAAAATAAAGTTATTAATTATAATATGATTATTTAAGATATTATTAATCATATAAGTGTCCTCTAATTGTAAGAAAATACTTAATTTACACAATTATATATTAATATTTTAAATGAGATTGAGTATTTATAAACCTATTTTTATTAATAAACTAATTCTTTCAACTATTTAATATAGACACAAATAACAATAAATTCTATATTTAATAATTTTCTTAATTAAATCGCAAAAAAATTAGGGTTTAATAAAATCCAACAATTTATTAAAAATGTTGAATAAATAATAAATGATTAATAAACACTTATTAAGAAAGAATTGATTTCTGACACAACATAATATGATAATCATTTTTAATAAATATAATTTCTTATGTTGTAAGCATAAATAATTTAAAATATTCAATAAGTTGATAGAGATTCATTTAGTCCTAATTAAAACATATTATTAGATAAATAATATATTTAAATAATATAAATAATATCATAAACATTGAATATGATTTAAATTACTAATTAAAATCCTATATAAGTTTTAAATATAATTACTTCTTAAAAAATAACATTTAAGATTTTAAAAGAAAATTATTTGATATTAATTTCAAATGCATAAAAAGATGGTATAAATATAGACTAAAATTAAGAAAAACTAACATACTAGGTAAATTATTTAGAATATCCTTCTTCTGTAATTAAATATGATAAAAGCTTCCCTTACCCCAATAATCATCATTTTATCATAAATGAAAAGTCAATAACTTTTCTTTAATATTAATAATAAACTCCAATTAATATTTCTTTATAAAACGTTTACAATTTACCTTAAGCTGTAGATAATGTTGATAATTATGTCTGTATTTAAAATATTTAAGATAAATGGATTGACTAGGATTGCTTACTTTTATATTATAAAAATGATTAAAATAAAATTAATTAATTTATATGTTAATGTAAAACACAAGGAAAATAAACTCTTGTTAATGACATAAATGGAATATTTAAAAAAGCGATTCGCTCGAAAGAATGGTATTTTTATGCTTCTATATGGACTTTAGTTATTACTACTATAATTTATATTATTACATTTATCTATTTATAATAAATTGATAAAATTCAAGACTCATAAATGGAACAAAGCACGATAAAAAGAAATTAAATTAGGGATATCATTTTTAAAAATAATATTACAAATGATATAAGATAAAGATTAATAGCTAATATTTTTAAAAATGATTAATAAATTATTAAAATACAAAATTAATATCTAGAGAAAACACCGAACTAAAAATAAAGTATTTAAATAAAATATTATTATAATATAAAACATTTTTTATTATTATATATTTAGATTAATTTTTACTTTTATTTAACATTTTTTAAACAAAAAATTAATAAATATTTGTAATAATAATTAAAAAATTAATATTTAAATATTTATTTATAAATAATATAATTATTTTTTTATTTTAATTATTTAAAGATACTTATGCTGAATTAAAATAGAATAAAGAGTTTATTTAGAGTAATTAACAAATATAATCCAAGATTTAATATAAATTATAATCTTAAAATACTGAAATAAAAAATGAAAATAATGCATAATCTAATAATGAATTAGGTTCTTAGAACCTATATTAACAATAATCAGAATAATAATAAAGATAAAAATAATAAACAATAGAAAATAATTTATTAGTAAAAAGAAATAATAAACTTATTAAAAGATAAACATATCAATTTTTATAAAAAGAAGATAAATAAATGATGCCATTAGATAATATAGAAGATTTTATTAAAATTAAGATTAATAGATTATCTTCTTAAAAATAAATTTAAGTTGGTATATAAAAAACTAACTACAAAAAAGGTATATAACCTCTAAACGATTAGATTAAAGATTAAGATACATAAAATTATTTGGCTTAACAAATAAATTAAGTATAAATTAAAAGAAAAAAACGTTAAGTTAGTTTGAATCGATTATAAAGTCAATAAAGCAAATTAGATAAAAATATAATCATCAACCAAAACTAAGAAGATAATTTAAAGGATTGTGACACATAAGAGTAAAAAGAAGAACAAAATAATGATAAACCTAAGCAATAATTATATAAAGATGAATTCCAAGTAAGTAGCAAATAAAATTACTTTTTATTTTAAAGAAATAATAAAATTTATAATGAAAATTAAGTAAATGAACTTAATATCTTTAAAAATAGAAGTATATTTATTTCAGTTATAAGTTTACATGAATTAATTTAAATATTTATTTTTTTTAATTAATTTTTAAGTAGAACATTTAGAATAACTTTATAATATATAAAATATGTAATACTTATTACTACTAATTTTATTATATTTAATGATCTAAAGTTTTTCTAAAAAATACTAGTAAATCTATTGTTATTATTAACTATTAATTAATTCATTATTTTGATATAAAGTGTCTATAAATTTAATAATAAAATATTTAAATGTTTGACTTGCTTGTTTTTCTTTACTATAGTCACAATATGTTTTTACTATGTTTGTATTAATATTTAAGAAAAATTAGAAAATTAATATAATAATTTGTTACTTATTTATTTCATTAGTAATATTTTTTGATATTTTTATTTATTAAATTATTTCTGCATTTATTAAATATAAGTTAATACATATATTAATTTTTAGATAATCTAATTAAAGATAGTTGTGGATAAAAATATAGTTATTTAACATTTTAAATTTAGATAATTATATAATGAATATTTATAATAAAAAATATTGTGTTTGAATATTATTTTATTTTTAATATTTTTTTCTTTATAAATAGAAAATTAATAAATTTTTGATTTTTATATAAAATAACATTTTTATATTTTAATATATATAAAAAAAAATATAAAAAACTTATTTAAAAAACGAAATAAAATTGAGAAAAATAATAAATAATTTAATATAAAATGATATTATAAAGAATTTAGAAAAAAAAAATCATTAAAATAATTAAATTTAATATATAATAAAATATTAAAAACTTAAGAATTAAATTTATTAATAATAAAAATTATTATAACAAAAATATATTTTTACACAGTTAATAATTTTTTGTATATTTATTAGTAATAATCTGTATTGTTTGTAAAA